CCTTTCTAAGCAGAACTCAAATATCGACATGGTGAGTGCATATATGCATGTATTGCGCGTGCCATCTCAGCTGTGTCTGATGTCCAATTGTAAGCCAGTATCGCTGTGCTGGCGGCTACGGGTATGATGTGATTGGGTTAGGGTTGATTGGGCCGGTCTGTATTATATATAGAGAAGTCCGGATGTAGCGTAGGAGAGTCGCCATTTGAATATATATTCATTTCGATCTAATTCAATCTGGCTGCCAATATCGGGACGAATACTAGGCGCCAAGCTGGGCACCAAAAATGGATATGAATAATAAGATACAAAATTGTATATCCCATTTGATCCCATGTTACGCAGGGTGCGGAATGTCTAAGTAATATGTGGGGAACATGGTCGGAATGTGAGGGGAAGGCAGTTAATACCATGACATCCTCTAAACCTGCGGAATGTGGTGGGAACACGCTGTTGAATGTGGCGGTAATGTGCTCATCCTCTCCGTGTTCCCCAACCTCTGTAATCTGGCGCTTCACGCGGTGATTCTTGCATGCTTGGTCTACTTCTGCATAGGTGCGTGTGGAAGCACGGTCTCTTCCGGCTCTGCATGAATTACCAATATGTTCGTTCTTTATGTAACTCTTGAGCTTCATCGGGTGTGTCAAGTTGACACGAGCATGCTTCTGCTTCTTCGCATCTGCTGACCGAGTGAAACTCATCTTTCAGAACACCAAGAGGCTGGCTTTTGACCGGCATCTGACGGAAGCATTGGAATCTCGTAGCATCCCGGGAGGAGATAGAGGCGCCCATCTCACCCTCTTCCGGTTCTCCCGACTCCGAAGTATGGACGACTCGTGCTACTAGTATGACCCCAGAAGCTACGGCCCATAACGTATTTCATGAATATCTCCCTCCCATCCTCTCCGATACATTTCAGACTTTGCATACTTCATTCGTATCCTGGATAGTACATACGTGTGAAATATGAAGAAAATCGGTGGAGGTTTGAATTGAGCATCGCGGAATTACACGTCTGACCCCAGAAGCTACGGAAAAGCGCCCAGAGATTGTCATGGATGGTCACAATGCCGAAGACTGCCGATTCGAACACCGCTGTTATCAGTCGTTTGATAGCGAAGTTGGCCGAGGCAACACTGTCGAAGCGCTCAGATTGAAAGTCAGCTTTATCTCGGTCAGTGGCTGAATGTCACGCTCGAGAGACCTCTTCTCATCCTTCGAATACCGCCACCCGGAATCCTTCGGAGACTGAACAAGAAAGTTCATTGAAGATGTTTAGAACACTTTGCAGAGTTACAGAAAGATCGGCGGTGCAGATCTTTTTGTGGCAACTCACCAAGGTCAGTAAACCCTTGAAACCCTACTGAGATTGACTTGTATCGGGAGCAAATCCCTTCCGATTTCCTTCGTTCTTTTTTACAATGATATTTTGGAAGTACATCGTCTTGTGCGTAACCCGTGCACACTTTTTGACAGGGAAATGCGAGAAATGGAGGCGTGTCAGTAGCTTCTGGGGTCAGGCGCTTAATCCGTAGCTTCTGGGGTCACACTAGTACTACGTGCGCTTCTCGACCCGGACTTGTACGGATACGCCGGGCATACACGCTCACATGATCGTGTATAGGGCACGCTGGAGGAAGACACCTGGCGCTCGCTTGTAATCGGAGAGAGGCCGTCAAGCCGTAATCCCAGGTTGGCTTCGTTCCCAGACCGGGGACAGAGGGTAGGATGTATATAAACCTGCCGCAGAACGATGGCTGTCGACATCCAACAGCCTCTCCCTGAAATCCCACCACAACCACCGCCCCCCAACCTTCCTCCTACGTTTGTATCCATTCACTCGCATGTCTCTCCTAAACGCCTCTACTGCTGCCTTCAAGCGTGGTATCGCTTCCTCGGCCCTCAGGACTCAAGCACCCAACCGGGGGATGAAGGCAGGTAGCGGTCTGATTAGTTGGGCAAGGGGTCGTCTCATGTGTTCCGTGTTAGGTGCTCGCTGTCCTCTACAAAGGCGGCGAAGCAGCCAAACAAGAGCCTCGCCTTTTGGGTACCGTCGAGAACCAACTCGGCATACGTGAATGGCTTGAGTCCCAAGGCCATGAGTACATTGTGAGTCCTCTTGAGTATCACCTGGGCTTTGTATGCTTTGCTGACCCAGTCCCCCCTTTTAGGTCACCGACGACAAAGAAGGCCCCAACAGCGTCTTCCAACAGCACCTCAAGGACGCCGAGATCCTCATCACGACGCCCTTCCACCCCGGCTACCTCACCCGAGAGCTCGTTGACAAGGCGAAGAACCTCAAGGTCTGCGTCACCGCAGGCGTCGGCTCCGATCACATCGACCTCGACGCCGCGGTCGAAAAGGATATCCAAGTCCTCGAAGTCACTGGTTCGAATGTCGTCTCGGTCGCTGAGCAGGTCATGATGAACATCCTCCTGCTCGTCCGCAACTTCGTCCCTGCGCACGAGATGATACAGCGGGGCGAGTGGCAGGTATCAGACATTGCGCGTAACGCATACGATCTAGAGGGCAAGGTCATCGGCACCCTCGGTGCGGGCCGCATTGGGTCCCTCGTGTTGGAGCGGCTCCAGCCTTTCAACCCTAAAGAGCTCTTGTACTACGACTACTCCCCCCTCCGTTCGGGTAAGCTCAAATTAGTTGATCTCGTCCAACGTGCCTCACTCAAAGCATGCCAAAGATGTTGCCGCCAAGGTCCGCGCGCGCCGCGTCGAGGACCTGAAGGAATTTGTTTCTCAGGTAACTTCTCGGTCGCCTTACGCTACTACTACTTTGCGCCGATCATATTTTCCTTACAGTGTGACATCATCACGATCAACGCACCACTTCACGAAGGGACCAAGGGACTCATCAACGCCGACCTCCTCAAACACTTTAAGAGGGGAGCCTGGCTCGTGAACACCGCCCGCGGCGCGATCTGCAACACCGAAGACGTCGCCGCTGCGGTTAAGTCCGGCCAGCTCAACGGCTACGCGGGCGACGTCTGGAACATCCAGCCCGCGCCCAAGGACCACCCTTGGCGCTACATGAAGAACCCCCTAGGTGGCGGAAATGGCATGACCCCGCATTACTCGGGCACGACTCTGGATGCCCAGGCGCGCTACGCTGCGGGCACGAAGCAGATCTTGGAGAACTACTTCAAGGGCAAGCCCCAGGAGCCGGCTAACATCATTGTTGGCGTTGGTGAGTGCAATTGCTTCATGTAGAGAGCGCAAGGCTGATGCTACGACCTGTTTTCTAGGCAAGTACGAGACTAAGTCATACGGCCAGCGATGAAGATCACCCCTTTGTTCTCGACTTTGCTGACGGATCACTTGTGCCCTCTCTTAGTCGTGTGCTCCTTTGTATCGTCCTCATGTACACTACCGAACACTGCACAGAACACTAGGATTGCCTCATCTGGTTAGATTCCTTGCTACGAATCCAATGGCTCAGTGGCTATGTAATCCTGCGTGTTGCATTGCATGTTGAGATACTCGGACCGTAGTCAATCATATGGTGGACCAAGTCTGGGGCGCAAGCTTTTCTCAAATCTCGAATTACTCACCTCCGACATGGCTTGTGACTAATGAGGCACGATAACGTAGGACCCATGAATGCATGATGGTTGGGAGATGACAGTGGTTGATCTCCGTATATGGGTGTGCTTCTTCACTGCCGGACAGCTGCCCGACGGCAAAGAGCGGCTAGGTAGCAGTGGCGGAGTCTGTACCCCACTTGGTTCAAAGCCGTTTGCAGCTTCTCCCCTCCTTCCAAGTTCTCACCGAGCCTTGCACGGCTTCAGGCCGTCTGTATTCTGACCGTCAAGATCTTGTACTACTAGCATCTCCCCAGCAACTCTCCTTGGTATGAATATCAATTGGGGCGTGGACATCATCGACTTTGTGGACATTCCGAACGCTTTAACTTGCGCTCGGTGCAAGAAGGACGGCCTCAGTAAACAGGACTTGAAGCGGTGTGGTGGTTGTAGAGCAGCGATGTATTGTAGTCGGGATTGCCAAAGGGGGGATTGGCCCTCGCACAGGTGAGTTCGCCACCATTGGTCGCTCTTCGCCGACCTTCGATGCGACTAGATGCCTCGTTCTGCCTGCTCAGACCATTGTGCCGTCCGGGATCCGTGGACACCGGAGCACAGGCTGTGGGATATCGAGCATCGATGTCCCTAGCCAACACCGTCAGGGACTGGGCGAACGTTCACAGAGAGACTTTCTCCACGATCGTGCATGCCCTCGTCCGCTCCGCCGGCGGTGTCGAACGCGTTCTCAAAGACGAGGAAGGCGTCTTCGTTCACCTAAGGCCTCTACAACGCGTGTTCGACAATCCGGCCACGGCTTTCGAGATCACCTCCCTATCCCTCCTGAATAAGCACGTCAGAAGCGAACCTATCTTCGTCCAGTGGGAGGAGCCCCAGAAATCTTACCGGGAATCTCTTGCCGCCTCTCAGGCGCGACGGAATACCAATTCCAGACTGGCCGGGATGATTCCCGTAACATACGTCGTAGAGGGCACCGATCTCGTGGTGCACTCACAAGAGACTCTCTATCGTCCCAACTTCCATGCCAGCGACTGCCCTGTAGACGAGCTCACCGCGGCGGCGTTCAAGGACATCTTATCACTGTGCATACGATGTGTCAGTACTGGACTCGTCTTGCGTGCGTCTTTGGGCTCTGACTCGGTGGTGCCCGATGCTGGATACATGGTGCGGCAGAAGAAGACCTGGGAGTGGAAACGTTCGGAGGATCTCGAGGCTCTCATGTTGGCTCTCATCAGCTCGGACGATGTTTCACGGCACACGAGTCTCTCTATAAAACAGCTGTGGGCTCTGTGGAAAATATGGTAGCTAACCTGGCATCACGGTAAGTCGCACACTCATGCGTCGCCAAAACTTTACATGCCTTCTGACTTCTATCTAGTAGTGTATCCTTAGTATCGCGAATTAACCTGTAACCGTAGGTATGTCTATGAATACAACTCAGTTCGATCTGGGTCGCTCACGCCCGTGTTGTCGGATGAAGCTGAAGCGTTGCCATGTGTTCGCCCTCAAGTTGCCGAATGTAAGTCAGATTGTTTCGAAGTAGCAGACCAATGTTAGATTGTCTTCGCGTTGAGAGCACGATGACCAGCGATTCTGCTTGTCCTTCCTCGCTATTGGGTGTACATATGTCAGAGTGGTGAGAGCTCGATCTCCCGCTACACTCATAGTCATGGAATGTACCTGACCCTTGTCTTAGACCGAGTCAGGATGCGATATAGGGCTTCGCACTGACCAGAAATCACATGAACGGAGCATACGACTGCATCACGGCTCCTCGGACGTTGGACCTCGTGCAGAACCACCGTCACACGGCGGACAGGCCAACCTCCGTGAAGGGACCTAGATGTCAGCCGCCGGAACATCCGGTCAGCCCGCTCCTCTAGCAGGATATAGGCCTGCACTACACGACGATCCCTCCTCACCCCTACCACCACCTTCTCTGCATCTCATGCTATTCCGCTCGTCAAACCCCTTCACGTTCAAACACCCCACATAAGCCGAGTAGGCGCAGTATCATATGCGGTCATATTCCTCGGGCTTGTCCTCACGGCACTATATGCTAGTCAGGTATGTCTCGTTTCCAAGTATCCTCGGTCTCGTGGCCCTGATCCTCCTCTGCGCTCATTCCGTAGCGTCGTTCGGTGACATGGACCACAGTCACCTTGAACATCGTCCCAGCTCACCAGCTGAGCCAAGCACGCCCCCCCCCCTTCCTGTCACCACGCCTTAATCAAGGCTGAGCATAGTGCACAGTGGTGATCAAGGAACTCAGCTCGGTGAGTGCCTTCTATAGCCTCAGTGGAGGTGGCATATCTGACGGCTGTCTGCAGGATGTAAAGTTGCCCGCAAAAGTCACCTCTTGTGGCCGCTGGCATCTGCCTTCGGGAGTCTCCTGAGACGTCGGAGCCTGATCGTGTGTGTTAGGTGGTCCGATGGACTGGGGGTGGCTCCCCCTTGTCTCGTCGGTTCCACCGGCCCATGTGAATGGCTGCGGCTGTCTTCTTCTCTCACCCTCGGAGCATTCGGTAAGCTGACTCCCATGTTTGTATGAGAGATCTCTGCCTGACGTCCAGTGACCCAGGTCCGTTGGGGAAAACTTACACACGAGGCCGAGTTTCACAACTGTACCTACTAGGACGAGTTGTCGCCCAGTCCTTCACCGAGACTCGGTCTGTGGGGATACCATTACTAGAACACGGTTTCCGCATCTTCCATCCCTCCCTGGATTAAACATTGTCGCTTATTCAGACGGATCAGTTGAACCCCTCTATCCTTCTGTCTGGCTACATGAACTCAACATCGTCCAATGCTCAAATGCCGGCTCTGGTGTGAACCACTTGCGTACGGACATCACGATGCTCGACGCATATGTAACGTTCATATCCTCATTAGAAGGATTGTATCCGCATCTGCTACCCCCAGCACACCGCGACTTGGCATCCATGTAGGACCGTTGATGAGCACGTATTGAGAGCAGAGCGTGATGCAAGGAGGCGATTAGCAAATCGCGGTTGAGACTTTGTTCTTTCGAGACTGGAGTGTCCTTCGGCACTCATGCTGCGTCCGACTAGCTTGTCCCTGCAGTCACGAGTGATAGGAAACGGGTAGGTGTCGAAAACCAATCAGTGGATGTACTGTACAAGATGGATTGACCTGGGGGAACTGCGCGCGCCGCTCAATTATTCGCCAACCACCACGGGCCATCCCGACGTGAAGTCGAGGAAGTTGATGCCCAGGTAGGACGGTCCACCGTAAGAGTCGTTGCGAACATAGTGATAGACAATCAGGTCGCGTCCGCTGTTGGCGTCGAAGAAGATGCTTTGCCCGCCGGGTGCGTAGATGTTGTCATGCGAGCCGAGTACAAGCGTCCCAGTCGGCGGGCTGGCATCTTTTGTCAGGTCGTTGCCGGTTTTGTCCAGGAACGGGCCCGAAACGTTCTCGCTACGGCCAACCAGCACCTTGTATTCCCCTCCTGGAGCTGGACGTGGTGTAGTGGTCTTATCCAGAGGGCCGTCGTGAGCAATCGCAACTCACGCAAAGCAGATGGAACATACGTTGACGAGAGGAGTGAAACCATTAGAAAAGAACTGGAAGTAATACTGAGAGCTTTGAGGCTTGTAGGTAAAGCCGCCCTCCGTCGGTTCCTTATTAGCACCAGCGAGGTGAGTCCCTGGCAGGTTCTACAACGTCTGTCAGCCGCATGTAGGATTCACAATCGCACTGCACATACAGCAGCGGGGGTGTGGATATCTGACAATGGAATCTGGAAGATCCCGTCGTTGTACGATCCGAACGAGAGCTTGAGCCCTTCGGCATCAATCAAATTTGCGTCGACTGTGCGGAACGTGATCGCGTCAAACAAAACGTAGAGCTGGTAGTGAGTGAGCGACCCACTGGCATTGTAGGAGTCGCCATCCTTCGAGCCGATCACTGGGCCAAGGTCGTCCCACGTGCCCTGTTCCATAGAAGGACTGGTTGCCACCCCGATTGTTGAGTTTTGGCTACCCAAAGTCGACAATGAGTAATAAAGGGTGTATTGGCCGTTTACGGAGTGCACGTCTGGAGCCCAGATATTTGGGTTGGACGTATTTATTTTGGAACCGTTCGGAAGGACGGAGCCGGAGCTCGTCCAGGGCCTGCGCCTTGAAGTGAGCAAGGCATCTGGAGCGCGAACACGGAGAAACACTAACCCGTTCAATGAAGAGCTAGTGAAGATGTTGATCCCTCCGCCGGTAGAGAACACGAAGTACTTGTTGCTGTCGGGATTGAACGCGATAGCCGGGTCACGGACTACGACGTTGTCTGATTGATGATGTCAGGGCGACGTATAAGGGGCAGGTGGCCGAGGGACTTACCACTACCAGGAAGAGGGTTAGGCACAGATAATGCGAGGGTATTCAGAGAAAGAAGCGATATGAGATGGAGCTTCATAGCGGTGACAGGGGTGGGATGTAGTTGCAACGAGAAGAGATGTATGCAACACACCGTTTATATTACTCAGGCAGCGTTCCTACCCCTGATCATGTTCACCACCGATGCTCAGTCGGAGCGCGCGGGGGCAGTCATCCTGGGGCAGTTCGCACTCCGTCTGCCCCAGCGAATATTGGAGTTTGACGTATTATCAACTCTCCATGAGCGCTGCATGTTGACCCGACCTTCCAGTGACACTTGCCGCTGGCGAAACAAACTCGATCGAAGCTTGATGTGCGGAGAAGGCGTTGGGGCATGGCTCTCGAAGAACAGGACCGGAGCTTGCCATAGCAGCAAGAAGCAAACTTGTGACAGCTGGTGTAGATTAACGAGGAGAGCGATGTCCGATACTCCAGGCGAGTAATCGGCCACTAGTTGCTTTGGGGGCCGCTAAACCGCGTAGTTGCATAGCTCACATCGAGAGCGACGAGCGCATGTCAATCCGTGACCAAGTGAGTCCGCTTTTCAGCGCCTCCGATATGCCGAACAGCCTGTCTAACAATGACATCATAGCAACTCACCTCAAGACGACTGCGGTTCGCCTCAACGAGTAATTAGGTGGTCAACAGACTTTCACGACCTGCACAGCTTGACAGCCATCTGCTCATCAGCTCCAACGCATGTGTTCAAGACACGTCTTTGTGCAACGCAAACCGTGCTTACCGGGCTGTCTTTGTGGACTCTGGAGCTTGCACAATGAAGATTCTAGCTGCTTCCGACCATGTCACGGTGGTTGTCACCCCAATCTTCCGAGTCTTCGGTCAAACTATGCGCAGCCATATCCGCATTCATGGCAGACTCCGGCGTCTCGGGGACATGGAAGTTATGGCTCCAAAGGGACAGCCAAGCGGAGTCAAGCGGAGTCGAGCATCGCGTCACGCCAATCCACTGCGGTGCAAGAATAATTATGCATGCAAGCTTCCGATTCTCACCTAAAATACAATCGTCAAGTAATCCAAGCAAGTACTCGGCCCTAGTCTGCATTGATGGGAGGTAAGGGCTCCTTGCGCCCTTTCACAGGCCAGATTTCAGTCAAGGTAGTGGCATCGAAAACGCGGCCGCCTCTTGCGACAAAGCGAATATCCCGTGTGCCGCTGATGTCGCCTTCAAGGAGATCGACGCCAGGCGGGTACACAACGAAGTCGGCGAGTTTGCCTGGGGTAAGGGAGCCGACGGCATTGTCAATGCCCAGCGTAATGGCCGCGTCAGAAGTCGCTGCCCGGAGGGTCTTGAAAACGGTAATCTCAGCTCGACTATGAGGACAATGAGGACGGGGGTAAACGGACCTCGTAGTTCGTCAGGCCGCCAGATTGGGTGTACCACATCTCGGCATGGTAGTTGACGCCGAGTGGCGGTTCTCCATGAGCACCAATGTGCGCCTTGAGACCCTTGCGAATCATCTTCGCTGTCGAGATAGAAGTGTTGAAGGCCTGGTATGCTGCGCGGGAATCAGCATAAGGCCAAAGATCTTGCTGGCGTACAACTTACAGAGCTTGGGGCGTGCTGTAGATTCCGACAAAGATTCCAAGCCGTCGTGCCGAACAAAACGCCTTAACCTAAGAGTGTGTGAGGCCTCAATTTCACAATACGCATCGCTGCGCTTACTTCTCGTTGTTCGGGAGATCCTCCGTTGCCCAGATGAGCTGTTCGCCCATGACACCTCCATAGTTCACGATGTGTGTGGGCGTCGAACCCGTGCCGCTCAATGCGTAAAGGTTTAAGACGTCATCATAAAGCACAGGTATGGGGAGAGGGTGCTCGATGGTCGTCATGCCTGTTACACAATATCAGGGGAGCGCGGGAGCATGTGAGGGCCAGGAGATTACCATCAATGATGTATGTCAGGTCCCAGTCATAGTTCATACCCTGTCGATACATCAGTGACAGGAAGAACGGCGGCACAGATGGCAACTCACCCCCTCAGGAACACAAAGCATACCAAGCTTGCGTGCGGCGAGAAGCAACCTCTGCCGGGAAGCGCTGACTCTAGCTTGAGTTTGCAACCACAGCTCAGAATATTAGAAGACGTACCGGATCGGCAAGTTATAATTCTTGTATGAGAAGCTCGAGGGTCCACCCTCGGCCTTGATGCGCAGCAACGCGGACTTCGCATCCTCAAGGCTCACAACGTCTTCGTGGTAGACAGGTGCTCCAGCGCCATAGATGATGGTTCCGGTCTGGAAGATGCGGGGACCGACAAGCTGACCGCGCTCCACGCGGAAGCGCTCTGCGAAGGCAAGGACGGTGTCCGCGCTCGGACTGCGATGCGGCAGGGCTGTTAGGTATGACGCACGAATATATCATGAGATGCAGCTTACTTGTGCAAAGTTGTAACGCCATACGCGAGGAAAGTCTCCAGTTCCCATGACCTAGCTGGGATGGCGGTATCGAAGCCATTCCAATGCGCGTGCACGTCGATGAAGCCAGGAACGACGAAGCCTGCTCAACCCCAAGTCAGCCGTCCAGCCCAGCAACGGAAACTAGAATCGACGCTGACCTCCTTGAGCATCAAGGACGGTGGCACCGTACGGCGCGACGAAATCGTGGACGCCCGCGATGGCTTCAATCTCGCCATTGCGCGTCACAAGTACGGCATCGTGCAAGATATCGTTGTGAATGTTGCCGGTGCTCATCGTCACCAGGGTAGCGTTCGAGAGGATGAAGAAGTCGGCGTTGGAGTTTGCCTCTTTCGAATCCCCGTACTTGGCCTGAGCGAGGGCGGCGGCTTCCTCCTTGAGGCGCGAGATGTCGCTTGGGTACTCAACCACGATCTCCTCGTACTTCGGGTGGCTCTTTGTGCACTCAACACCGAAGTTCACGGTATCCTTCTGAGCAGCCTTCACACAGGCACTCAATTTCGATATATCGACATGGTGGAGGTATGGGCCTATTTGTCAATAGTCAGATATATCGTTCGAGCATCTCAAGAGAGATTGCACAATACCAAGGAGCCAAAAGAGCTTCGACCCGTCGCCGCTCCAAGTGATCGAATGGCCACCATCGACACTCAATCTCTGCAAACCCTTGGTCGCGTTTGCCGGCCTGCTCCAAACAGCGTCATCCGCCGTCACAGCAGGTGCATAGTAGACATGGTGGAAGTCTACGATCGCCACCGGGGTCTCCCCCTTCTTCAGCGAGGCCAAACTCGGCGGCGGGACAGCGAGTTCAGCGGACGTGCGTCCAGTTGCGAGCGTCTCGTGCTTGTACTGCCCGTCCTCGTCCGGGCCCGCGGCGAGGTCAATGACAAACGCGCGCCTCGGCGACGAGACGAGCAATTTCTTGCTCTTCTCTAAGAACCGGAGTTGAGTGGTCAAGACGTCGTCTGTGTCGATCTCAGAGGGCACGAACTTGATGTTCTTGACTGAGACCTTCTCGTGCGAGCCTGAGGGCAACGTCAGCTCGCCGATGTACAGGCCTGCGCCGGCCGTCGCGACGACGTCCCCAGTGAGGTAGTCGCCGCTCTTGCGGAGGAATGCAATCTTGCGGTTCGAGCCGGGGCAAGCGCACAAAATGGGGGAGTAATAGCGCCCGAGGGGCAGGCCAGTCAGGACGTGGGCAGTACCGGACGTGAGGTTGGCGAGCTCGAGCGTCGTGAACTCTACATCAGACCAGCGCGCGTGAATAACAAGGTCTGGGTGGCCCGGGACGAACGACGGAGAGTAGTACGGCGCCTTGCTATCGTGGACGGGAACCGGCTGCGCGTAGTGCTTGCCGCTGCCCTCGACCTTCTGCACGTACGTCGCCCCGCCAGCTTGAAAGACAGCATGCTCGCCAGTCTCGTCGATGCGGAGCTCGTGGAAGGCGTGCACGCGCTGGGTGTCGGCCGTCTCAACGGTTTTGATATCAGTCTTTGTGGAGCGCGTCTCCGCGAGACGCTTCTCGATGTGAGCCTGGAAAGGGATAACTTGGGGCTCCCCCCCGGCGATGCGCTCGCCATTCTCGTCTTTTTGAAGCGGAACGTGGTAGACCTTCCCTGCCGCCCAGATGATGATAGCATCGTCCTCGGGCGTAAACGCGTATGCAGGATAGGCCCCCATGGGTGCGGAGACGATGCTCAGGTCGTACGTGAGGCCATACCAGATGTTGCGAAGAGTGCCACTCTCGAGGTCCCTTGGGTTGGGCTTAGGATCAGGTCACCGCTGAGTACTGGGGAGACTTACTTGAGAACCAAAGCCTCCTTATCGCGAACTCGGCGGACGAAAGCGAGCGTACGGCCATCGCGTGAGAGCTCTGAACGTGTAGCGCCTCCTGAGTTTGCGTCCACGAGGATGGTAGTTTGCTTGGAGGTTATGTTCGTCGTGAAGATGGCATTTATGCCGCTGTGAACGTCTTAGAGCAGCTTAGCTCGATTGTACCAGCCCAATTGATGATGACTTTCGCATACCCTTGCTGTACTGCCAGCGACCATTCGTGTCGCGGACGTTCTTCGAATAGATGAGCGTGTCATTGCCCTTCCAAATGAACTGCTCGGGTCCGACTTGCTGCTCGCCATAGTTCTCCACGCTCCAGCCCAAAGGAAGGGTCCGGCCCACCAGGCGCTTCCCGCTGCCAGCTTGGATCGAACTCGCTGACGCGTCCTTGGGAATGTCGTACTCCCAAGCTTCTCCTGCACCGAGACTACGACTGGAGGTGTACCACTTCGTCGCAACCACCTTTGAACCGTCAGGGTGGAAACGAGCGTCCGACACCCATCGGTAGGTCTCATTGGTGACGCGTTGAGCTACAATACCGTTGTCAATGAGCGTCACAAGTACAAGTTGGTGTCGTGTGTAAGACTCGCCGCAGTGAACGGGATACGTACCGTCGTGTCGACCTTCGCGAAGTAGCCGATGGTGCTTTCTCTCTGCGCTCTCCTGAACCCCACTCGCGAGAAGCTCCTCATCCAAGTTTTGGTTTCTCAGAGCATCAGCCATGTCGCCTGTTGCGTGAGGAGGGCGTATGTCGGAAGCCTCGCAACCATTCCATGGCTTCACCCAGATGTTCTCAACACCAAGGCCCGCGTCGCTTCGGAAGACGAACTGGGTACCATCAGGAGAGAAGTGGGGGTCAGAGTCGTGGGGGATGCCCTTCAGGACAGGAACGGCACGCGTATGAGCCCCGGAAGCAAGTGTAGACGCGCTATATGCGCCAGCAGGAAGACAGTAGATATCCCCGAGAAGGTCGAAGATGACTTCACCAGTCTTGGGATGCACGTCGAGCCGCAGCCATGTGCCCTCGGTCACGTCGTACTCCAGCTTGCGGGGAAAGGGGAAGTCGGTAGAGATGTCCCAAGGAGTCTGCTCACGAAGAGGCCAAACGTCATCCTTCCACTCCTCGGCGGGATCGGCGAACGAGGTTGAAGCTGACTGGGAGGGAGCACGCGCGGTGAATAGGCCCGTGGGGGTCCAAGACACGGGGTAGATAGTGGAGAGCAATGCGACAGAAGACAAAAGCAAAGCCGTCTTCACCAGGGGTGTCTTTGAACCGCGCACATATGGCGCAGTCGAATGGCTGGCGACATGTTTGTCGCGCTTCTCGTTGCTGAGAACCATACTGGGCTCTCTCGACCGTAGCTAGAGGACGTATCGCACGCATGTATGAGCACTTTGTGTATGAGACAGTAGAGGCATCTTACAGTCACTCCAGAGCCCTGTGTTGGATGTCTCAGTCGGTTCGAGCGATGGAGAGATATGGTCTACTCTGGTCTACTCAGCGTGGGACGCGAGTATGCCGCCGTCGCCGACGCGAGCGTGCTCAAGCTCGCCATTGACGTGAGAGCGCGTCGGACCGGCCTTTCGGTGCCCGAATTACCGCAGGCGCCATCAGCATCTCCCGCTATACCCGGCCCCCGCATCTACAATCTCCACTGCTCGTGAAAGAAAGTTTCGGTATGTAGCTTGCTGTGTAATATGAGCGAGCATGGCGAGACTCGCACGGAATGATTCACAAGGGAACGATGGGCTCCGATAAGCAGGAAACTTCCAAGGGGGCAGACCTCGTGACCGTCCGGAAACACATAAAGAGGTCGACCGTCGCACCGTATACCGTGGCTACCCTCCACAGGTTATACTCCCATCAAGCTACACTACCACCTTGTCAAACATGCCTGCTCTTGAAATAAGGACAAACATCAGCGTCGCGGACCCGAAGGCGTTCGTGAAGGACTTCTCTGAGGTATGTTGTTTCCCAAGAAACCGTCCAACCACGCTTACATTGGTGTGTTGTTCTCCTGACTAGTTCTCAGCTACCACGCTGGGGAAGCCCTTGGCCTACATTGCTGTGCACCTTGTGCACGATCAGAACCTCGCATGGGCTGGAACCTTTGACCCTGCTATCCTCCTCAATGTGGTGCGTGCATCTCACATCATGTTCCCCCGCGACGGCCCGCAGACGAACAGTCGACTGTCTACAGACCAGCTTGGACAACCTCCAACCTGAGAACACGGAAAAGTTTTCCAAGGCTTTCTTCGGCTACTTCAAGGAGAAACTCGGTATTCCCGACAACAGGGGCTACATGTGAGTAGTCCTCCACGGACCTTCACTTACAATTGAGTTGACGACCCCTTAGCCTCTTCATTGACCCAGGCAGGGCTAACATTGGGTACGTTCATATTTCTGTACTGACTCCGACGATATGACGCAATCGTCTGACACACCATCTATCATAGGCACACTTCCACTACTTTTGCAACTATCTTCAGCAAGTAAGTGAGAAGAAACGAGAAGTTTGCTGTCCCGGGGAATTTTGCAAGATGGAAACGTGTGTATGAATAAATCAGCTGTACTATCAATACGAAGGCACAGACACATCACGATCGTCTCTCATTTGTGTCTTGCACGCCGTTTAACGACTGCTAGGTCGCTCGCCTTGTGCGTGTATCGCCACTGCTTAGCGGCCGTCATGTTCACGGCGCATATGTCAAGACCCCCTATGCCATGCAAAAAGACAGCTTGGCACAGCTTCGCTCGCCCTCTGTTCAACAGAGTATAAGCCACAGTATGACCAGAGAAACATCGGAGACCACTGCTGAAGTGCGTCCGCATATGCACGACTTTCGTTGTTCTCTTGGGAACTGTGCTCTCAGGACTGTCTATGCAACATCCATGAAATAGTGTTGATATGCTTTGCTGAAGGCCCTGCCATTTCCATAAATGAGCTATAGCTTTGGCCCAAAGACTGAGTGGCAGTTTCAACAAACGGCAGCCCATGACGCCATCGGAGACGTTCGATGGGACATTACTACCTCAATAACTGGTTCATTCGCAGAGCCCGGACAACTTCCCATCGATGATTATTGAATGCTCGTTTGTATGTCTACTAGGGTATGTCGTGAAGAAGGAAAACCACCGCGCCCCGTTTAGACAGTAACCTGGCAAACTGATCGTGTTCTGCCGTGATACGTTCCGATAGAGAAGCACGGAACGTAAAGGTGCTTGGAAAGAGAAGCAAGTTGTAACTGTTAGCTTTGGTCTCGTTCTCGTGTTTTGGCAGGTCACAAAGTGCAAGAGGCGTGACTTCGAAGAGGAACGTGGGTTTCAAGAGATGTCGTCCCCATGGTAAACTTGGTCGCTCTACGTGCTGCTATCGAAGGTCCGAGCTCGGTACGCCTTATACCGGGTCGCCGCTTTATGACGGCATGTGGGCGACTCAAATAAGAAGTGTATCGCTCTATCTGCGAGTCATCACCGATCAACGTGGTAATATCTCCTGTGATGGTCTATGGAAACATTCTGGTCTACATGCGGTCTACATACCCGATATGGTCGACCTGGCTATGGTTTTACAATCTCGCTGGTGGCATTGGTGGGATGCTATGCAACCATGTAAATTCGGTCATCAACCGATTTCCACACAATCTATCGCGCTCACCTCGATGTCCGCCTATGCACATCCGCCGCGAGCCGCCGAGCCCAGTCGCGCACATCAAGGTGTGGGATGAACGTCTCGCCGAACGTTGATGTGAGCGGGAGGACCTCCGGTCGGAAACCGAGACGCTGCAACTGCTCGCGCAGCTGCGTGCCTGACAATTGAGTGCGTCCCAGCCAAATATGTCAGCGAGATGTCATCCAAGTCCAACGAAGCCCTGCTGCCTGACGACCACCGGCCGACCTCGAAGCCGTACATAGCCGCGCATCTGAACCTCACCCCTACATACACAGAAACGTCATGGCACGTACCTGATTGTGCGTGACGGAAGGAGTGGTCTTGGAAGAGCCAGTACCGATACAATGCCCACGACGGGTCGTCAAAATCTATGCTGCCTAGGTTGATGCTCCGGGGTGGCATACCGACCGCTCTAGCGGCGTCTGCTGCCGCTGCCTCTTCGAGGCCGCACATGTAGAACGCTATAGCGACCAAACATCAGCCACCTGTGATCAAAACGTATACGTGCTCATGTTCACTTACCCCTAATGACTTCTTGCAACATCGTCGTGGTGGTGAATGTGGGGATGAGAAAAAGGTTCACCGGTCGCGGACGTTTTGAGTTCTGCGCTCCATGAAACGGTTCCTATGTGTAATTGGCATGCTTTAGTGGACCCGCCGGAGCATGGGATCCCTCGGACGCACAAGGATCATTGCGGGACTCGTCTTTGGTTGGACTTACGACAGAGCTTGAAGGACATGTGACAGCTGACGTTGACTCAGGCGCGTCCAAATGGGTACGGATAGGACGGCACTCCGAGACACATCGAACGGTGAGCACTGTCGTCGAACACGCTGACATCAAGAGCCTGCATGCTTGCTGACTCCGGAAATATGAGACTCGAGGTATATCGAGGTGTTTCCATCCGCCGGACACTCTAGTGGCAAACGATCGCTTGGATTTCGGTCAAACGGCGTACCGTTGATGCGCACCCAATAAGAGCCGGGGAAAACAAGCACAAGTAGGTACGTTCCAGATCCAGAACCAACCCAACGTCGGCGGCGAGAAAGACAAGACCGCGCTGCGCATCGAGGACTCCGGACAAGCGCCTACGAAGCGGGCGGACGCGTAGCGCATGCACAACCGCGCGCGCATCAGGACGGTAGAACACACGGTCACAAATGATCGCATTGAAATCATCCGACCTCCGACCGAGACAGAACTCAATGTGAGCGGAGCCGCGCTAGTGGTTACAATGATGCGAGCCTCGAGGCAGTCATACCCACGGGGCAAAGATTTCAGAGAAGGTCGTTGAACCACGAGTAGCAGATTTCCAGTGCGAGCGCTACGTTTCAATTCAGAAGGAGTCCATCCGTATCTAGGGTACTAAAATCTGGCTACGAAGGGTACATATACAACAAAAGACGTTAACCTCATTGTCGAATCAAAACATCTACGCCACGGGCCTGAAGATCAGATATACACTTCTCCGAAAGGGTGTCGGGATCTGCTTCCACGCTCGAGAGCGCCCGCCCTCTCCGCCGACGCTCCGCGCAGAGCCACGTCACATCAGTCGATATGCGGCTTGGTCGCTCAGCATTCGAGATCACTAACCGCGCGAGCTTCGAGCAGAACAAGAGCGACGGCGGATGGGTGGCGTCCGTGGGCGTCATGGGAACAGAGACGGCGCGATGCCGTGAATATACCCGTGAGTGGTCGGGCAGGACTGGCATCCGGAGCGCGCCGAGGACGGAGCGAAGCGAATTGTTCGTAAGGGACGCAAGATGGAGTGAGCGCAAATTCACGAAATCTGAGAAGACCGCGTGCCAGTTTGCTAGCGGCACCTCGGCCGTTTCGTGAAGGGAGATGGCGAGAGACTCGACGTGCTTCGCGTCGAAGATGCTTGATAGCCTCGTGACTGCGGCGGCAGGATCTGTGACTTCGACATGGACGATGATGATCGGACCCTCGTCGGAGAGAGAGAAACGGTATCCCGTCACTACGATGTGCTTCGAATCCTCTTGGGTAAAATCGATAGCGCGGAGACAGGTTAGCCCGAACAAGAATGTCCGGTCGGCAGGGAGCACGGGGTATTGTGATGGGAAGGTGGGTGTCTCGGTGGTTGAAATGACATAGCGGGTCGTCGACGGAAGAGCGAGGTGCTCCAACAGTTGCGCAATCTGGTGGGGCGAAGGACCATCCAAGTGAATATCCGTAAGATGGGGCAGGTGTACCATCCACTCGGGGTCCGCTTGGGAGAGTTGGGACGCCCCTTCGAGAGCTGACGAGCGCAGCCTGAACGACTTCAGTAGTGGACACTGATGTAGGATGTTTAACAAGCGGTTCATTGAAGGTGCAGGGTTGGCGGAAGCGTCCAGATCGAGAGTCCGGAGATCCCGATACATCAAGGAGTGCCATGGTAGACAAAACGGGCGCAGGCGCAGGGAACGCAGGAGAGGAGCCGGAGATGACATTGCGAGACCGTTGCATACCGGAACGGCAGTCAAGTCTTCCTGCTCTGAAGCAGTGAGCGATGGCTCCGTCAGGGGTAAGGGCGGTCCATCGAGATAGAGTTGCTCAAGCCTTGGGATAGACAGTTGACACAATTGTTCCAGATAACGAGCTGCAACAGTGGGGTCGTCTGACTCCACATCAATGTGAAGTGAGTGTATACGAGCGCTATGGCATCGGAGGAGATGAACGATCCCATCAACATCGCAAGACCTTGCGACATGGACGTCTAGAATGACGTCTCGCGAGCGTTTGAAATACTCCTGTGCCTTGTGAACGCTTGTTACCGAGACGTGTCGCCAGAGTAGGGGGTTGTTGAGCGCTGCGATGCGCCAGTGTCGACACACCTGTGTCGCGGCAACGAGGTCTGTTGCTTGCCGAGACCAGATGAGGTAGGAGAAGACTTCGCAAAGGAGCTCGACGGGGAAGGTGGTTAGGTTGAGTGTGGGTTGATCGGTCACGCGGTCCGTCGGGCTGCCTCCATCTAGGGCGAACGCGTCGATGGTTGCGGCGGTGCTTCTGTCTCCCACTGTTATGGAAGTGGCAGGACGTGGGCCAGCGGCGGTGGAGAAATCGACACCGTGGGACAGATCGCAGTCGTCGCTATGTATCGAATCCGCTTGAAGACCGGAGATGTCAGCAACGAAAAGATTCGAATCTAGTCCAGGAGACTCACCCTTGAACATAAATGCGGAACGAAGTGTGCTTCTGACAGTGAAGAGGTAGGAACAGCGCGTTTAAAAACGTCGTACAAGAGCTGTGAATCAATGTAAGCCAGGCACGAGACATGGGAAGGACAACCGTACCCAAGAGGATCGGACGTGGAGTAAGTGGGGAAGTAGAATGGAACAGGCTCGCCGTGAAATACTCTTGGTGGAACTGACAATTAGCGCCATTTCCATGCCATTTCGGATTGAAGACTACACGTGTGCCTGGCGTTAGGTGGCACAGATGGCAGAACAAGACTCTCGGCTAATTCGAAGCAGTAGATGCAGAGAGCCTATCGGCGGCGGAGCTAGTATCTAACGGCTCCCTAGTTCACCGGCAGCAATGCGGGGTGAATCGCCTCGATGAGTTTAGTAGTCGTCTCCTGATGCGCTGGAAGATCGCCCTAGATTCTTTGTAGATGAGATGACGACGAGATTCTGCCCGTTTGCCCAAGACACTGAAAGCAATTGAAACACTTGAAGATCAAAACGCTCACCTCCAACATCGCTCGTTGAGGCCATGGGTGCCTCTTCGAATGACTGGTGGGCCGACGTCTTACAATCAGACTACGTGAAGGTGAGACGGCACTGTATTCTGGACCGTTCGAGGTGCAGTGAAGGGAAAGAAGCGACATCGAGCTAAGCAATGGGGTGACGTGGGTCGGAGTCATCCCGTGAGATCTACATACTTCTGTGGAATGCTATCAGCCGGTAGGGAGAAGTGTCCTCCCTGCGCATGCTGGAACGATCCTATATGTGACAGCAAATCGCTGGCTACTTCCAAACGCATGAGATAGCTTCGGGCACCTGGTTGAGAACTGGCTGAGTGTGGGACTCAGTTGAAGGACCGGCGCGGGCGCGCTCGATTCGGACGAAGTGGACACACTAGTAGCGTGATGATGGTGGAGTGCGCAAGCCGAAGGTTGACCGGAAGCTGCGGGTGGCACCGAACGTTTCCTCATATGGCTATATAGACGCTCTGACCGGGCCGTTGATTGATTCCTCGTCTGGGAAGGCCATCGATACATCAGCGCCGGCCGGTGCCTTTGTAACGCGCAGCAAGCCAAGTACTCAGTCTCTTCATCTTCATTTGCCCAGAGCACAGCATTGAAGCGAGCATCCCCGGCTCCTCCAAAAATTGCGAAGGTTACGGTAGGTAGCAGGTAACTTGGCGATCTTCGTCATCCATAGCACTGCTAGGTCGAATCTGCAGTGGTGGCCCGCTTTGTTGTCCCAACGTCCGAACCTTATATTACAGAGGAAACATGCTCCGGCTTCAGGCCCATCAAACAAAGGACCCTTCGTCGCCTGGCACCCAAGGATGGTTGACCAATCGTTTGGTCTGGAAGAGCGCGCGCTTCTGACATAACTGTGTACAAAGACCATGCTCAACGAATGTCCGATGAGGTGCTTAAGTACCTCAGGACCCGTCTCAAACGAACACTGTGTTTTTTTGGCTCTATACTGCAGCGTCCTGTCATGCCAGAGGCAACAATGAGCCACATCCTCGGCGCCACCGTCGTCGAAAATCGGATGAACAGTATGTGGATCTCCGGCAAGTTTGCGTGCCTCGACGTTAACATGCATCGTCTTCTCAGAACTATTGGCCGTTGTCTCAACAGTCTGGTTCCTCGCGGGCGCCCTATCCGCATATATGTACCTGCGCTTCTTCGCGCGGCACCGGCCATACGGTTCGCCTCAAGAGCACTCTAGACCTTGCTTGCACGCATCCCAGGCGCCGACGGAAGATGAAAAGGAAGATGGGGGTGGCACAGCGCACGCGGAAGATGTGATCACACCTTTGGCCTCCGAAACAGGCCCAACTTTGCCCCTCGAGCTGGAGCACATGATCATCGGCTACTTGCACGCAGACAAATCCGCATTGAAGGCGGCCTCTTTGGTTTGCAAGGACTGGACGTGTGCAGCTCGCCGCCATCTCTTTCGCTCGGTATCGGTCATCGGGGTGAACGACTTGCAGCAGTTCGGCGAGCTCATCTCCTCGGTTCCAGACATTGGCGAGAGCATCCAAGAACTGCGAATCATTGAAGAAGAGTCGACAACAGCCGTTCCCCAGCTTGTTCCAAACTACGTGAATTTCGTAGCTGATCATGTCGCCTCCATGCCAAAGCTCCGCCATTTGCACTTCCTGGATACTCCAATGAGGTTAATGCCGTACGCCATCACCCCCCCCGGCTCACCGACCTTCCTTGGACCGTCTGGCTTTTAGATCAACCGACTGCTTCCCGGAGAACTTCCACTGTCTAATGTATCTCATGGGCCTATTTTCGATCATCGACTCTCTGGAGCTCGCCATCCCAGAACTGCCCATACTTCATGGGGACTCCATGCCCTCCACGGAGGACATCTTCAATGCTGACGAGCTCCCCTCGTACGGCACGGTGAAGATCGATTCTCTCAAGCTCTACGACGTCGACGACCGCTGGCTGCCATTGCTTCTGTCAAACCTGCGTCGGATCGGGGCTCTGCAGGACGCCTCCTTGGATCTTGTTGTATCTTTCAAGATCTTCCACGACGTTCACGTCGACGTGGAAGCCGAAGCGGGGATGCTCGTCGCCAGATACGGCGACTTCTTGCGCGGACTAGGCCCTGCGCTCCACCAGCTCGACTTGGACTTTTTCTTGATGATCGCGTGCGCCCAGGGGAGTAAGTACAGCCGCTACCTGATTATACTCAAACACTCAAGCGACACTGCTCGTCTAGCTTGGTGGTCGGAGAACGAAGACCCGCTCGGCCTCTCCGCCTGCACGAACTTGAAATGCCTCACGCTGTATTTCGACAACCCATTTGGCCACGATGGCTATCGCTTCTTGGCCACACAAGCATTGGACCGGTACACGGCGATGCTGACCTCGAACCGGTTCCCAGCACTTAGGTACGTCATCCTTCACATCCCGACTGACGACGGCAACGACGTCGACGGCATCAACACCGCCGTCTTCGACCTCGACTGGCGCGCGCTGGCGTCCGCCCTGCTTGCCTTGCCGACGTTGGAGTTCTTCCTGCTGGACTTGTACTGCAGCACCTCTCGGCGACCGACTGTTACAGCTCGCTTTCTGCAGGGCTTGGTCGGACTGCAGAGGGCGGGAAAGCTCGTCTTCCTTCGCAAGGTACGCCGTCTCTTGGGCCCACCTTGCGTAGATGTTGACGGCTCTCCGTACCGACAGCCCTCGCCCTCGCCACAGGGACAGGAGGAGGACGTCGTCAATCCCTATGACCGGGAGCCTGGGGAGGGCGTTGACGACCAGGCCGAGGCGAGCGAGGACGGCTCATCTGCGCTGGACGACGATGATCCCTCGGATGAAGACACCGATGCGTCCGAAGAGTGCGACGATACCAGGAACTTGAACCAAGAGCCTGGCGGAGTTTGAGCTGGAAGGCTTCTATACCTGTTACAAGGCCCGAGGGTTACGCTCTCCCCCTGTCTCTCGGTCTTTGTATCGAAGTGTGCGCTGGTCGCTGTCCTATGTATCATACCATTGATGTGTCTTGTCACGTAACCTAGCTTTCCCACTAGTCCCCATGAACTGCATTTCCGCATCGACGCGTCATAGACACCCGCGTGCGAACCACGAAGCCTTGCTATGCAGCGGTTATGAGATCCTTCCCTGGACACGGGCAACCCCTCCCTCGTGCTCAGTACATGTTGGCCACACATACCTGTCACTGAAGCTCAGGCTGAATTCGATGACTCGCGTCAGGGCCGTGTGAGGCCTTTCTGAGCTTTCTAGGGTTCAATGAATGTTGCCTGCACTAGAGGCGAGCAAGATGCGCGCAGTACTCGTCCTACTCGGCATACAGTCTCGGTAACACATCCTGCGGGGATCCAGCCTTTGTGCAAGGCCACGCCGATAAGAATGGACAGAATGTGCAGAACATGATATATATGGACCCTGCTTGTGCTACATAAAGATACTACCTACTGACTATGAATGAGTGATACTAGCAGACCAGACAATATTGGATGGGAGAATGTAAGCTTGTCTCGTGAGGTGTAAGCGCGAGGAGAGAAGGGGGGAGAGCGAGGAATTGTGACAGGAGAACGAGCTTTGGTCGTGGCGTTGACAGGCCGCCACAGAGATCCACCAGACTGTATAACGGAGTGGGAGGTAGATGGAGCTTGTGTGACACGACATGGCATATACACGTAAGAGGACTTGGGACAGGAGGAGGTGAACACACGCATGACAGAGACAAGGACAAACAGACAATATGCCAGATAGAAGCTAGTCCCAACAACAACAGCGATCAGATTATGGCTACGTACGGTTGAACCGTTCGGCGATTTGCACAGTGGCGAAGACTTGACCACATTCCCCGCCACGCCGCGAATTCTGGTACGCCCTCGGTCGGCCGCGCCAAAGGTCGAGACACCCAGCGCAGCGCCGTCATAGACGCGGCTACACTTGACGGGTGACGGGGCGCGGGCGTCGTGGAATCGTCCGTCGTGCAGCTTGTGGCAAGTCGTGACTGCGTAACCGTCCGTATCGAGTACTTATATTGTACAAGGGTGTATAGATGCCGAGAGAAGTAGGTCGTCCAAACGCACGAATCCGAACATGAGCACAGCGTGGTAGTAAGCGTCACTAAGGTGAGCACATCAAGAGACCGAGATCTCCATTCCCCAGTCGTGCCCAGACCCCGACGTCCCGAAGTCCCGAACGAAGTCCAGGCTGTACCCAGCCCAGGAGGTTGCTAGTCCAGGATCCAGGGGTGGAATTGTCCGGACGGCCGAAGTGCAGAACCATGACCCGAGACCTGTCACGGGTCCGTGCAACAGGATGAGTGATGTTCTAGTGCACGTGTCCTAGGATGCGTTTGTAATCGGCAACAACGCTCTGGAACGTCTCCTCGAGTTTCTGCTGGCGTTCCTGCTTGTCGAGTTGCATGAGGATCTCCTGCAGGCATGTAAAACAAGCGGGGTCAGCGTTTGTCCGTCTCGTTCTCGAGAGCTGCCGAAAGCAAGTACGAAGCCGGATATAAGAGAAGAGAAGATGTGCAGATCCGCGACTTTGGTAGGGTAGGTAGAAGTGGAAAGACAGCGCGCGAAGCGTTCGAAGACGGGAGCGGGGAGGAAGAGAAGGAGAGAAGGGCAAGAGATGAAGGGGTACGCACGAAATTGAAGCGGTATAGCCGTTCCTTGACCTGCAGGCGGTACGCGCGATTACCACGTTCGTCCGCAGGGTCCATATGCTTCAGGATGAGCATCTCTATGAGCCGGTGGAACTGCCGCTGTAAGCACCCATACAAGACACATCCGACGAACCCCATGACGTATCCAGAACAGAGACATGCGGCAACGAAGACGACAACATGGCAAACAGACGAGGTCCCCGTCAGCATACGCAACACGCATGAACGCCACGCAAGGAAACGCACCCCTGCAATCTTGAGCTCTGTCCGCCACTTCTCGAGCCACGTCCGCTCGGCAGGCGGACCCATTTTGCCTGCGCCTGCGCGCATTGTGCGATGCTTCACGCCCCTCCGCGTCCTCCCGTTACCAACGCCACCGACCTTGCCCCCATTGCTTGATACGGCCTCGGGCCCGAAGCCCTCGCGCATGAACTTCTCGTTTGCGAGTAGCATCTTAAGGTCGTTCCTGTCGCGCAGGTCCTCGAATGCCTCTGCTGGGTCCTCAACGGTGAGCTCCGCGATGCGCGGCTGCGCAAGGACGTGCTGGTAAATGGCGGTGTAGAGCGCGGAGCCGTGCCCATCCTGTTGATAGGGAGGTAGGATGAGGAATTGCGAGATGCGCAGGCGGACGCGCTCGGGGAAGCAGTAGAATGGGAAGAGGGTGGAGTAACCGACGAAGTGGTAGGTTGCGACGTCGGGGGAGGACCGTCTCCGCCGCTTCTCGTAGAGGACGACAAACTCCCAGGTCTCTTCGTCTTCGCTGATGTATGAGCCGCCCTCGATATATAGGAGGACAAAGAGCTGCATTCGCCGATGAAATTCACGGAAACCCGGTGTCTTCCAAGTGCTCTGGAAGTACGAAGTCAGTCCAAATCTCCGAAGAAGCAGTAGACAGAGAATAGAGCAGGGCGGTTCTAGATGTAGTTGCTTCCCGGAGAAGACGGAGCGATGTCTCGGGTATACGGTGCGTGGCAAGAGACGCGAGACGCGTGCACAGGATGTGCGTTGGTCTCGAACGTCCTAGCTTGGACGCGGGAGTGTACCTTGAAGTGTGCGACACCAGGCCGGCGGATCGGGGCCCAGATGGACGCCTACTGCGAGGCGACGATCTCGAAAAACGGCATATCGAACCGCCGAGACTCTGGGAGTACCCCTAGACAATAGGGAAGTGAATTGTTGACTCACATGGTAAACCTCGTAGTCTACGGTCTCTTGGTCTTCCGGCGAGAGTACTTGAGGGATGGCAACATTCTTGCCCTTCGAGACGGGCATGGCAGTTCGTGAATATGAATATATCTTCTCGCCAAAAGGCTTGAAGTTGGCGGCATCATGTTCGACGCGTTCGAGGAATCGTTTCTCGTCGGTGTAGTATCCTTCTGGGATGAACTTGGCTAATGTGTCTTCTATTTCGTCTACAGCGGATGAGGCAGGTAGTCGTTCTGAATATTGGACATTGAGGTATTGCGCGAGCGAGCCCGACGCGAATTTGAGCTGCGCGAGGATGAGTGGCGGTTCGCGAGGTGCGTGAGGGTACGCATACCTCGATGGCCAGGTCCTTGTAGCCGTATACCTTCTCCTCCTCGCCGAATATCTGTGGGAAAGCGGTCGGCGGTGGGGATGGGCCAGGAAGGACAGGTAACGTACTGGATATGTGAATGTTGGGTGGAAGCCTTCGTATACTTCTCTTGACCAGAGGGAGGCCTTGTCTTCTGGCGCGCGCACTGTCCAACCATCGACGTGAGCGCGACGCGGAGTACGGCGGCGAGCTCGTGTACGCACCCAGAGAGAGGGAGAGGGCCTCGTTGGCGTCGGCTGTCCAGGCAGAGGCAGAGGCAGACATGGTGGATAGAGAGAAAGAGAGATGGGCCTCTGGGCGCGCGGGCTCGTCGCGTCCATACCCCCCCGTCTGGTCTGGGCCCTCAGATGTGCTCCCTCAGATCGCGTGTCACGTCACAGGTGCTTCCTGTCACACTCTGCGTCCCAGGGTCGAGTCCCGAGTTCCTCTCCCACTCTGTTGTCCCTCCGTTCCCACCCCTTGCGCCCCTCGTTTCCCTTGCTAGCCCACTATATAGACCTACCTCCGAGCGCAGCTACTAGCGTAATCATACGCTGGCAGCGCCGGGCCACGTCGGCCACAGAACAAAACGCGCGGTGACAGTCGCACCCCAGAACTTAGCATGTCAGAAGAACAGCCCAGAGTCCGTGGCCCTCACTTCGGCACACACGGCCACATCTCGATGATCGTTGACCTCATTTCCCTCAACAGCTTCTCACCGCCTCGGTCTCGGACTTCAGGTACTTTGCTGCCCTTCTTAGAGGCGTCAACTTCGCCAATGTAACCCATTCATCCTCCCTCGCGCGACCACGCTAACGCTCTTCTCGCGCTCTCCACAACAGCGCGCGACCGTTCAGATCAACGCCGACGGCCTTACTGTCACCGTCGAGGAGAGCCGCGTTCTCGTCGGTGAGCTCCCCGAATAAATTCTCTGGCTGCTGATTCCTGCACGATCGTTCGCTTTGGGAATATTGAAAAGCACCCTCGCCTCGCGCGCGGTGGGAAGGAACACTGCGTCCATGCCCAGAACCCAACATCATCTTCTCGTCCATCTCACTTATCTTTTGTCTCCAACAACAGCAGCCTTCTCCCGCTTTCCCTCCCTTCCAGCATGCCCAATCTGGAGACGCGCGCAAGGCAGGCCACACGTATGGCCCCCTGCGTGTATTTGCCCAATCCGCTCTTGGCAATCGGGAAGACGGGAGGCGCTGCACCCGGTCGAGGCCTGCCTTTAGCCACATTAGTGCGCTGCAGTCCGAGAGGCACGAGGCATGCAGAAGCCCGTGCGACGCCACCGTTCGCTGTGCACATGAATTGTCTCACGCGCGCGAAAACGAGTGCGCACATGCGCCTTGGGCCGCTAGCAGGCGTTGTGTCTCTGGCTATCTAAGCGCATCTCTGTTCTTGTAAAGCTGTTGTCTCGTCGACCAACGCCATGTCCGTCTGAGTACCGCTCCTCCAGTGCAGTTGGGGTTGTCCGTTTGATTCACCGAAGGTATCCTGAGTGACAATCTCCGGACAGCTCCCATCTGGCAACGACGCGGGTCCAGGCTCGAGGACGCGCATGCAGGGAACGAGCCTCGAATCCCGTGGTGGGGTTGGTCTAGATGATTAGCAGCATATAGCTCCTGTGGCCCACCGCAGTGGTAGTGCTGCTCGGCGTTACGCGGATGCAGAGACACCGTATGCTGATATGAAGGTGTGGAAAAGGGCCCCCAACGTCCTGGATTTGGACGGTCCAAAGAAAAGGGTTCCGATTGCAGCTTTGCATCCATATATGCGGCGGGCGACACGTTCCTTTGCTCCGTTACCTCCGGCGTAGGCTGATGCGGATGTAGATGCGCGCCGCGCACTGTCTGATTGTCTACTGTCCACCGTCCAGACCCGGTCTCGCGCTCGTGCGAGTTCGGTGACGTAGGTGCCAGGACAGATGATCTACAGTAGCTTGATAGTGTGCCTGCGCAACGTCCTAGAAGCGGAAGCGGCGCATACATCCACCCATCTGCCGGTATATTCAGTAGACTGAATGGCGCTCGGTCGCGCGGCTTCTAGGCCATGTCTGTGCGTTAGGGAGTCGGAGAGGTTGTCCGCACGGCGTGTTGGACATCCCTTCTCCCGCTTGAGCTTCGGGCATCGGGACGCCTTCGAGACATCGGGGCGCAGATGATTATGCCGCCCCCAGTGTCCGCGAGGCTAAGAAGAGTGCTTGCGTTGCTCGTTGGGTCATTCTGCTCGTCCGTTGAGAAAGGTGCGTGTTTGGTTTGGGCAGTGTGCTCAGTTGAGATGCTCGCCGACTCCCTGTTTCTTCGCATCGGCACGACCTGCTTCTCACCCTTCACACGAACACTGGCTAGTGGCTGCGTGCCGCGGTCTGCGTGCCACTAACCACGCATTGTACTCACGTTGACGGCCACGGCACTAGTAGAATGACCCAATGAATAAACGTCCCAATTCACTGCGCCTTTTGGCTGCCTTCATGGAGTTTTGTGTCCTTGGTCCGTCCCGAGAATAACGCTCATTCTTCTCCGCATGAGCCAGCTCGTTCAACTTTGTCATACATTGCAGACAGCCGCCTGCGGTCTGCTGTAGTCGCCCGACAGTATGCACGATGGGATGAATAGAGACTAGGCCATCATCCCGCCGCCAATTCGGTGACAGTGTCACATACGCCGTTACGACCTCGCCCTTCGGTCTTGCCGAGGAAGACGCACAGTCTCCCTGCCCCATCTTGCGGCCAGTCAATCACGATGAGAAGCTTGGCTCATCTCGTCGGGGAGATCCTATCGCCTGCGTCTGCATCTGCACACGCAGAATCGAAAACGAGGGTTCTCTGCGTGGTGGGTAGCATCCGTCCCCAGAGTATAAGCATTACGTCTTGTGAATGCGCACTTGGTCGTGGCGATTGGACTGCTTGGGTATTTGCTCTCCCACACCGCAGGGTAGGGTGCAAACGGAGAGGTGGCGCGCGTGCTGTATCGTGGACGAGCCCTTGAGAGGGCTAGGCTTAAGGGTCCGATATTTCACCAGGGGCCCGGGCAGGGTCCAGGGAGCGTCGTGAGGTTTCATGGAGGATGTCCATGCGAGTCCCCCGATACCAATTTGTGTAGCCCAGGGGTTCGCGGGTATGAGTGCGAGGTAGCCTGGACGGATTTCTGACATTCCAGACCCTGACGTCTCCCATGTGAACCCTCGCGCCGTTGCTTCGCGTGTTCGCGCCCTGTTCCACTCTCCATTTCCAAAGCAGCGGCTGCAGCAGCAGTGACGAAAGATGACAAATACGCTAATGCCTCCGCGCTCTTCCGCTTCCCTGCAGCAACCGCCTGGGTGTTCAGCGCCGTTTTCGACGAGTTCACATACAATCCGCACGCCGCCTCTCAACCTTCGCAGCATCGGCAAGAACATGCGGGAGGAGATGACGGGGAAGAGGAGGTGGAAATGGCGAGCGCGTTCGAGATTCCACTCGGCACCCTCATGGACTGCCTGAACGTCTTCGGGACCGCCGCGCAAGCGCCTGGGACGTCGTCCAAGAAGAGAAAAAACGGAGACGATGACTCAGACGGAGGTGGGGGTGGGGGTGGGGTGAAGAAGGACAAGGGCAAAGGTCGCGCGGACGCCGAGGGGGGCAACGCGCGGCTCGATGAGTGGTTCGCCCCAGGGAAGGGCACGGGGATGCGCATGTCATACGCGGGGGCGGGGCACCCGCTGACGGTGCTTGTGTGAGTTGTCCTCCTTCCTCGCGTCCCTTGCTGTGCAAGCCAACGTATGGATCACTGCATGTGCTAACGGCTACCGGATTCGATGCGATGCGATAGGGCGGAGGAGTCGGGCGGTCCGACGGCGACGTGCGAGATTACAACTTGGGACCCCGAGCCTAGAATGACGTTCAACTTCGACAATGACGCGACGTGCGTACTCTACCTTCCCATTGTCTGCTCTCCCAGTCTCACGCTCGCGTCCATGCCAGTGTATTGAGAATTATTCTGAAGGTCAGCCGCCCCTACTTCGAGCACGAACCTCACCCACTCACTCATCGTCGCTGACAGTCATCCTGGCTGCGGGATGCCCTCTCTGAGCTCGACCCCTCCACCAAAAAGCTGACGATCATCGGGCACCCCCCACCTCCTGCTGTCGCAAACAACCGAGTGCCGCGCAACGCGCCCCCGCGCCTGCGCCTGCGCGCGGTCGGCGAGTTCGGGACGACGGAGATGGACTACCCGAACGACCGTGAGGTGCTCGAGACGTGCGAGTGCCCCGCGACGGTCTCATTCACGTGCGTCCCATTGGCATCCCTCCTTTTGCTGGTACCAATGTTGACTGGTGCTGAACACTGAGGGCGTTGGGCTGTATAGATACACGTACTCGTACATTGCGAAGGCTATGCGCGCGCTGCAGAGCTCGTCCAAGACATCATTGCGGATTGACGACGAGGGGCTATTGAGCATGCAGTTCTTGATGCCTGGGCCGAGGAAGCAGGGCAGGGAGAGGTCACAGGCGTTTATCGAGTTCTGGGTGAGTACCTTTGGACTGCGAACTGCAAGGAGCTGACCGGCCGTTCAGTGCCTACCTCTGGAGGAGTGACGGCGTTTATACCATGGTGTCTCTTCTTGCGCGCACCTTCATATTGTATCCATAGCCACTTATCAAACATTCTTGTTGCGCACCCTATAGACGCGAGCAGTGTGCGAAAGGAAGTCTATGGCCGGATTAGCGAGATCGTAAGTACATTAGAGTAAGCCGTCTAGGAAAGTAGCGCTTTTGGGCTTCGTGAAGGCCTCGGGAGTAGGAGTCGGCGGAGCAGGCTTGGACGGCGGAAGGTAGTCCGCTATGATGGAATCGAAGTCTATTGATTGCACTGGCGCTGTACAATCCCGTCAATAGAGACACCTCCCTGGAGCAAGGAAGAAACGCACTAGCAGCAGCGCGGGCCCTGGTGGACGCCTCGAGCATGTTGCCTACGATTAGCCTCCGCACTGTGATCCCGTCGAGCGGGGCGGCCTCCTTCACGCTCTTCTTCGCATTGGTCTTCAGGTCAGGCGGCGGCGTCTCGCGGTACGTGCCCGAGGGTCCAGACGCGAGGCCCAAGTGCGTGAGGACGTCGCCTTTGGTAAGCATGCCGCGCACCCCCGTGCCCTTGATTTTGTTCACGTCCCCTTGCGAGATGCCATGTTCCTGTATCAGGCGAATCACAGATGGGAAGAGCGGTCGCGAATGGTGCGGGACATGAGACTCTGGGGGATGGGTACCCTCGCCGCGCGCGGATGTGGGGTACTCAGAGTCGGAGGGCGCGAACGGAGCGGGCTTCGCTTGGTGTTCGGGCGTGGGTTGGGACGGGTTGGATGAGGAGGCGGGCTCGTCCGCGGGGACTTCGAGATTGGAGATATCGTCACCTTCCTCTGCAAGGAGTGCGATAGTCTTCCCGACTGGGACGTTCTTCGTCCCGTCAGGCGCCTGTCCCACCAATGTGAGTTGACAACACGCAGTGAGTGAAGACAGAGATCGCACCAAGATCTTTCCCAGCACGCCGTCATCCTGCGCCTCTACGTCGATTGTGGCCTTGTCCGTCTCCTACAACATTGGAGCGTCGTTAGCGCTTCGAGGGTTATGACGGGGATGAGGTGAGGGCGTACAATCTCAAGAAGCACGTCTCCGGCTATGAAGGACTCGCCCTCCTTCTTCTTCCACGAGGCAATCCCACCCTCGGTCATCGTCGGTGACATAGCTGGCATAGCGAGCTTGGAGACGGCATAACGCACCGCGCTCGTGCTTATCCCTACCCAGACCCACATTTGAGCTTCACATCCACAAAACCCAACGAATTGAGTCTAGAAGGTACTCACATCTCTTGCTGGTAGACGCACGAATAGCAGCCTTGGAGACATGGTGGAGGGACTGCATTTTGGTGGTCGGGTCGTACGTTGTAACACACGTCCAGAGTCGCGAAACGCGCCGACAGCGTCAGAGGGAGGACCGGGACATGCCGAGACGCGTAGCGCGCCTGTTCTGGCAGTGGCGGCCGGCCATGCTTCCGGCAGCTGTCTGCTCTTGCTTCCTACCCTCATCTCCGTCCGTCTGGGCTCATGCCCTCTGGTCCCTGTATGCGCTAACAAATACCGCTCCAGACGCTCTACAAGGGGTGCACTCGTAAGTCATATCAGCACCTTGTTGTCTTGTCCGATCCAGACGTTTGAAGCCTAGCAGGTTTCATGACCATCGTCCCTGACACTCTCTACCCCTCTCAATATCGTCTGGAGGCAGCACTGACCCGACGTTGGGCCGAATTATGCCTTCTCCCATGAGTCTTGCGCTCCAGCGCGCCCGGCTTGTTGGGACACAGTTCTTCTACCGCTTTGGCATGTGCGTATGCTCCTCCTCCCATTCTCTCGCTCTGCTTGACCAACAGTCGTACAGCCACTGCGCGACCCATCAGATCCGTCTCATCCTCGTTTCCTCTGTTGTCATCACCTCGCTTTTGTTCCCTGCTATCGCCAGCTACTACTCATCTCAGACCCAATACTTTGCTGGCTTCACCCTCCGCGTGCTCGACTCCTTCCTCACCCCTGACGACATCTCCAGCTACTTTGCCCAGCACGACTTGCGGCACCTCTGGGAAGGAGATGCTGCCTTACGTACGCGAGCCGACTCGGTTGCCCGTGCCAGGTGCGGGATGGAAGGCATTTTACGTGAAGAGCGTGTCTTAGTGGGTAGTGTCTCTCCCGAAGAGGGCCTCGGGGCTCTCGATAAGAACACGCTCCTTGCCACGCTCAAACTCGAACGGCGAATATCCGAAGCTTTGTCATCTCGCAGTATCTCGTGTCTTCGTTCTCGCGATGGCTCTTGCTTTGCACTCAGCCCCTCCGCCTTTTGGAACTATGACGAACAAGCACTAGCAGCCGACGACGACATCCTCGACACCCTCAATCTCTCACAGAATGTCACCATCTCTGGTCTGCCAATCACGCCGGACATGGTATTGGCAGGGCGCGAGTTACACGATCCATCCTCAAATCATATCGATGCAGCTATGTTCCTGGTGCTCACGTACTTCTTCCCCGAGAAGGAATGCTTCGGGAATGACGGTCATTTCCTATGGCTACATGCGCTTGAAGATGCCGGCGGGGACGCCGGAGAACTAGTCGTGCTCGCACAGGAACCGCATTTGATCGCCTTGGAAGTAAGTTCCTAGTCATCTGTGAATCGAGCAATTAGACCTGATACATCCGCCGGCGCAGTACCGGAAGAATGCGTCTCTGCGCACTCGGTTTACCATGCTCTTCGCCTTCACCTCCATCACATACACTGCGTTTGGCGTCTACTGTTTTTGGCTGTTCCGCCGGATGACTATGGTTCACTCTCGCATCGGTCTCGCGTTCACCGGTATAGTCGAAATTCTTGTCAGTACTATCACTAGTGTCAGTGTATGCGCACTGGTTGGCTTCCGGGTGACAATGGTGCCCTGGGAATTATTCCCGATCATTGTCGTGTTCATTGGGGTTGAGAACATGTATAGTATTGTGCGTGTCAATTCGAAGTCGGCTCCTCGATTGTGCACTGACTGGTCTGGACAGGTCGACGCCGTAGTCAAGACATCTATCACATTGCCTGTCAAAGAGCGAATAGCGCAAGGTCTGAGCCGTGCAGGAACGTCGAACACACTCAAGGTTGTCTCGTACAATGCTTTGCTCGGAGTTCTGGCTGTGTTCTCTACAGGCGCGATCAGGCAGTTTTGTGCCTTCTCAATCGTCGTGCTAGTGGCGCACTGGTTCTTGGTGCATACATTCTTTGTGACTGTGGTGTCCATTGACATCCAGCGTCTCGAGGTCAGATCCCTTGCCGCCGTCTCACATGAAAGCTTTAACTAACAGCCCCTTCAGCTCGACGAGCTTCTTCGCCAGGGAAGCAACCTGACACCAAACGTTATTCAAGACCCGAGAAAGAGCAATCCTCAATCGTCCAAGACGAAGTTCGGGTCCACTTGGTCTGCGGTCCGAGAACTTGTGCGTGGCCGACCGGCCAAGAATATCAGCTTGTTTATGGTGCGTTCGGTCGTGACGCGCGATCATCATACCTCTCATTCTCCGCTCCAGTTGTTAGCTATCACTGCGGCACTGTGGTACACGACAACTCCTCAGGCGGTGGGCCACAAGCCCACGGCGAAACCTACGGCCACTCGTAATCCTCTAGCTCAATTGTCCAGGGTGCAGAACATGACTCCGGATAGTATCTCACCCGCTCAACGCGTCTGGCAGATTTTGAACCCGGTCGGAGATCCACTCATCCACATCCGCATCGAGTCCCCGACTATCCTTGTTCTCGGTGATAGGGCGAACACGGCGGCTCTCGATGAAATGACCGCTGAGTCCGACAAGCATTTCTTCCGTCCACGCGTCTCGCGCTACTGGTCACGCACAGTTCGACCGGTAGTTTGGCTGCTGAAAATCTTTGTCATGCCGATCACGGGGACCACAATGCTGCTCTATGGGCTGCTATTGTACTTGTTGAAAGATGCTGAGCTGCTGGAAGCTCAACGTCATGCCGCCGAACCGGAGTCTCCTACCGTGGACGAGCCGCCGAGCGTAGAGGGCGGCATCTCTTTCACCACGCTACCCCGCGCATTTGCTACGGACGTGGACCTCATCGCTGCCAGCGAGGATGGGAAGACGATCGCGACAGTAGGTTTAGAGAATGAGTTCGTCATTTGGCGGACGGACAGGCAGTCTCATGTCGTCATTGACCCCTCGACATCCGTCTTGGGAAGCTGCGCCAGCACTCCCTCCGCCTCAACCACTCTCACTGCGGTTGCCATGAACAGCCTAGGGAACATCTGCGCCGCGGGCACCGGTGCTGGCACGATTGCCGTCTTCCTCATTGGCAAGGACCAGATCAAACCCCTGCCCCACCTCCATCTCGAGCATCTGTCCTCAGGTATCACGGCCCTCCACTTCACAGGTTCGCTCAAGTACGCGTCGGGAGCAGTGACCCCACTGCGACCTGGAACTCCCGGCATCGACGTGGAGGCTCCCACGGAGCTGACGTGCCACTTATATGCATCGTACGAGAACGGCGCAGTCGTCGAGTGGGACATCTTGTCCACGAAGAACCCGCGCTACGTTACCCCTTCACGCGCTGCGTCAGTGGTCAAGTCAATGCTCCTCCCCATTCAAGCAGATGGCCGGCTCCTCGTGGGATTCTCGCTGGATGATGGGATGCTCGAGCTGTGCAATGTAGAGCGGGACAATTCGGTTTTCAAGGAGGAGTGCGCTATCTCGGCAGGCAACCCCGCAGACCTTGTCACGAAGGTGCATGTGTGCAACGTCGAGCTCGATGGGACGAAGAGGATCATTGTGGGCGCCGCGACTCAGGCGGGCATCATCTCGCTATGGGATGCGCTGTCGAGGGAGTGCTTGATCATACTCGACGAGCCATTTGGTGACATCAATGTCTTGAAGCTGTCTCCAGTCCACACTTCGACGTGCACGACCTGCGGTGAGCTGCCCATTGAGAACTTCTCGATTACGTTCTCCGTCGGCCATGTCGTGCAGTTCTACCGGGCTTATCTGACGCTTCCCACACGGCGTTGTTCATGTCCTCGAAATCTACCTCAGCAGGCACCTCGATCCAGCCTGCTCGCCCATCGTGGTAGGAGCGGCAGCAACGCATCCGTCGCATCGACAGGAACGAACACGCCTGTCCGTCCCCGCTCGCGCAGGTCTTCCTTTTCCTCTCCTCCCACCATCTTCCCAGTCTCGGGCCACGGCGTCCATTCTCGTCGTGCATCCGAGAAAGACAGCCTCCGTCGCGCGTCAGAGACGTTTTTCCTCAACAACCCCGACTACTTTGAGTACGACATGCCCCTTGGCCCGCAAGATGTCATACCCGCGTCGAGCTTCCTCGCATCTGCCGCGCAGCCATCAATATGGCAGAGTCTCGTGGTCGTTCGCGTCTCCGACACGACCGTCGAGCGCGGTGGCTGGGACGTCGGGCACGACGACAAGATCGTCGGCATCCGCCGCCGCCCACGACCGCCCGTCACTCGCAAGACGGGCTCGGACCCCCGTGTGCAACAGGACCGATCGGTCGGCCTGACCGCCGCGGCACTCGATAGATGGGAGCTGTGGACGTTCGACCCCGCGGAGAGTAAGCTGCAAGCGTCGCCACTCCTCGCGCTCAACCGGGAGCCCCCGCGGAAGCGCAAATACGAGGCGGACACAAGCACGGGATCGTTGAGAATGACGGCTCCGCTCCCGAAGAGGCGCGGAGCTGTGCCGAGGCTGCACTTTACAAGGGTGTCGCCATTCTTATGCACTCCAGGCTGTTGTCTGGCGGGTTTCGGGAACACAGTGGGTTTGTTTAGGTTCCACCACCTAACTGTGCGTCGTGGCTCTGGTTCTGGTAGGGGTCCTGGGTCGCCGTCGAAGCCACCGAAGGAAGGCCGGAACGGGAGCGCGAAGGCAGAGTAGGTCCATTCACCGGGTCTGGACGGCCTCGGATTCCAGAGCGAGTTGACACGTCCAGTCGACGAATGTAGCGCATACAGTATCTTAAACGGTTTTTGTATAATAATCTCGCTCGTCTCATATCTAGGTCTAGACGATATTGCTATCTCATGAATCACTGGTTGGTCGTATTGATTACTTATACTCTGGTCCGCTATGGTGTCTATGCGGCTATGTATGTACACTTGACATTTGCTTTCCTACCGTGCACGTATCACTTGCTCCCTGTATACTACCTTGTATACAATAGTATCGCCTTATCTCGTATGGATACCAAGGATGTTCCAGTCAACAGGTTGTTGGGTAGGCACGATACCCCCGAACCTCAAGGGGATCGAACCACAAGCCCTGTCGCAATACTGTTAGTAGTATCTGGGAACTGATGGTCTGCCTTTGCTCATGATAGTTCATTACATCACCATTTTAAGGACAGAAAGCCCTTGTCCATATGCTTTTGGGGTCGGGCCGTGTAATATTGACACGAGAGGTCTTGTGGCGTCAGGCCATCTTTCTACCAGTCCTCGTATGGGCTTGCGAGGACTGTGATCGTCAAAAATCCATTTCGAGGGGAACAAAAGCAGCTCGCATGACTTGGCCAACACTCTCTCGACGGGGCTGAACACATGAACATGAAGAGGCGGCGCAGATGTTGTACAGGGAACTACGGTCGGACCTGCCACCACCGTCCAACCTGCCACCTGCCTTATTAGGCATTCAGTCGCCCGTGACGACGCTTGCCATGCCCCAGAGACGGTGGTGCGTACTTAAGAGCGTGTGGCAGGTTGGACGGTGGTGGCAGGTCCGAGCGTAGTTCCCTGTACCATGGCCGTGAATGCCAGAAGAACCGCTGGCCATGCTCTGGCACAGTCCGTGGAGTTTATCATAAACGTCATTTTATCGGGCGCGGTGCCGCGACATCCAAACAACCTTCTGCGGGCAGAGCTTCTGCGCGGTCATTGTGTGCACAGGCAGTCATGAAAGCTCGAGCCATGTCCAAAGGATTCGGAGGTTTTACGTAGAGGGCCGGAGCTGACGAGCCAAGAGCTGCTGATGCCCTTGACTCTCGAGGCTCATCCCTGAGATCTCGAGTAGGTTACCGCGCCGAGTTTGCATGATGAAGGCAATTTCTCACTTCCTCGCCCAGTAATTGCGTTGATAGCCAACAATCCCCGTAGGTTCTCTTAAGTCTTCGGGCGCCCGGCCTCTTTGCGTTGCACCATCATCACCGCTGGACCACCCGATGCCTGACCTGTCTCATAATGTCCGCAAACATTCTCATTCGATGCAAAAAAAACGCTCAAATATTGAACAATGAACGTAGATAGAGGAGACGTCGAACGAAGATCCTCCCAGAACCGAATGCTTCTCCTGGCTCTCTTGCTCCTGCACCCGTCATGGCCACAAAGTCATCGCCTGATTCGATCTCAAACCTCTAGCAACTTGGAGCTGCACTTTCTGTCTCGCACCTCGTTGACTTCGTGCTCAGGCTGGACTGTTTCGTAATGACCCTGCCGGTGCAAGGTCTGGATTCTGGGAGGGAAGCCGCATTGTCGCTGTCCCCCTTCTGCGCTTGCCCTCCAGTCTCTGCTTCTAGCTACTAGGACTCTCAGAACCGCCCTCGCTCCCTTATTCTGATATCAGAGGCATCCGGATGCGTCTCTACTTCGTCCCGAATGACCCCGAGCGCACGACACTAATGTCTGCCAACGGGGTTATCCACTACCAAGTCACTACTGTCAAAGCACGGAGATTCACCCCAGCTATTCTTCGTATCAAGCGGCCCGCCATAGACGCAAACGAGGATACCTGTGTCGCTGAGGTCAAGTGGAAACGCGGCTTCCGCGCACACCCCGTTGTGCGAAGCCACATCTTCGACGGGGAAATGCAGGAACTCCAAGTGCGCCACTTCCTCTACAAGGTCGGCCGCCTTTTTTCCCCGTGAGTGTCACGTTCCACCTTTTGTTTTGCATACGGAAGATTCAAAACCGCAGAACACGATATTTCCTGGGGAGCGATGATGAGGAGTATAGGTGGAAGCCGCTCAAGGACACAGGTCATGTCGTGCGTCCGTTTAGGCCCTACAAGCCTAGCACCGACACTGACGTATCCGCTCCTTAGCTGACCCACGTCAGCTCTAGCCGCGAAGTCGCGCGCTTTGTGCAAGAGACCGTGACAGAGGGCTTCTTCCAAGGCGAAAAGAAGTGGTGTCTCTTCATCCAACCGACCAATCTCGACATCGACATGATTGTCGTCAGCTTTATTATCATGGAGAAACGGAGACGCGACCGCATCGCGGCTGAGGGGATGAAGACGAAGAACCAGGATGAAGATCGGGCTGTCGAGGGCGGCTGCGAGACTGGGGGGTCGGGCGGCGCGCTGGCGTAGCCTTGCCAGCCGCAAGGTGTTGCTAGCTTTGCTGTTGGGGTGTCAGGTTGTATCTTGGGTTCTTGGCCTTGGTTATATGCGCTCTTCCCACAGGTCTCATTGCTGCCTTCTATCGCCGGCTGAGTTACTGAATAAAAACGCCTGCCGTTGGAGGCTATCATCGGCCCATATATCAGGCTTTCAGCAGTGGAATCTGGACTGACGAGAGCCATAGACATATGATCTCTTCGAGGCTATCACCTCACCCGAAGATGGTATACAATGATACAATATCTCTTCCTGTAGCATCCAGAGAACGAATGACAGGTTCTATGTCTACAACAGGTTAGATAGTCTGCTTCCAATGATTCATACTCCCCTATGCTGCTGGCGCTGCAGCTGCCTCAGCAGCAGCTTTGCTCTTGCCGAACGTAGGCTCGATCTTCCGGCTGCCATCCATAAACGCCTTGATGTCGTCCTCGGTGACGGCTGCTCTTCGCTGCACAAAGGAGTGAGCGAGATTGCGAAAACGTGTATCAACCACAGCACGTACGTCCTGGAAGCCCTTCACGAAGTCCTGCAGGATCTTGATACACTTTGCCTTCAGCTCGCCCGTGAGCAGACGCCCGGCGCGGTACTCCTGCATGCGCCGCCGTGATCAGGACGTCTGCTGGGAAAACATACTGAACAACATACCTCTCCCATCTGTTTCCACTCCTCGTCATCGTCCAAGAAGAACCCGAGGTATTGGTACGCGACGTCGACGTCTGGGTTGCCGCCCAACCGCCTATGCTCCTCGACCGTCTCCTGACCTCCCGAGAACCCATGTTTATTGATCTTGCTCTTGATCTGGTTCGGGGTGTCGTTCATGTATATGCTCGAGTTGACGTCCGACGCGCTCATCTTCGTCTGCGGCCCCTGCAGCGCTGGGAAGAACTTGGCGTGGATGAGCGCGGGTTTCGGGTACTTGAGCTTCACGGCGACGTCGCGCGTCAGCCGGAAATACGGGTCCTGGTCGATCGCGCAGGGGATGAGGCATGGGATGTTGGACGCGCTGCCGAATATCTGCGGGAAGGAATTGGAGAAGGAGGGGGCGGCTTGGATGGACGCGAAGTGAATCTTGCCGATGTTGTCGCTGTATGTGCACATAGCCATAGCGGCGTTGTTGTACGTTAGCCGCATGCACGGATAAGGAGAGGAGGCCGTCACAAAGGGGAGACTTACGAGTCGTTGAAGCCGAACGTCGCCTTGGCCTGGTTGATCGTGATCTGGCGGGAGATTTTGGAGACGTTGCGGTAGAAGGGCCCGCCGACGAAGTCGTAGTCGCTGAAGATGAACGTTTTCTCGAGCTTGAAGCCGACCGCGATGATGTCTCGCGCGTTCCGCTTCGCGAACTCATACGTCTGCTCAACCTTGAGCTCGTGCTTGAACAGGAACTTCTCGTCGTCCGTCAGCTGTACGACGAGCGGGACGTCGAAGACGTCTTGCAACCATCTGCGTTCCGCGATCATCAGCTCGCGTTCCCCGCCCCTCCACCGCCTCCCCTGCAGAGCCTACCGCGGATCGGCCAAGGAAGCACGCACTTTGTGAACACGAACGGGATCATGTGTCCCAGGTGCATCGAGTCGCTGCTCGGCCCTCTCCCCGTGTACAGGAAGAACGGCTTCCCCTGCTCGTACCGGTCCAGGATCGTGTTCAGGTCTCGATGCGAGAAGAACATCCCCCGCCTCAGGAAGACATGGGGCTTGTGGCCGGTCACCTTCTCGAACCGCTCCAGCAGCTCCGGCTCAATCTTCTTCGTGCCAAACTGCACGAGGAGCTTCTCGTAGTCAATCGCCTGCTGCTTTCCGTCCTCTGTCACGCCACCCTGGACGTCCCAGGGGGTGACGACCTGTGCTTGCGCCTCGGCCGTCAGCGCGGGCTTGACCGCGGGAGGCCCGGAGTCGGCGGCTTGTTCGGGATGCGGGGGTACGGTCGAGGACTCCGTGGCTGGATCGGCAGACATGGTGGTAGAGGTGTAAGGTTGCTAAATCGCCAGCGAGATTGACTCGAGCCAAGTGATGAATCCTCGGAGGAAAGTCTGTGCATGATCGTTATATTTATCTAACTCGTAGATCAGTCCGCCCGCAACTTGATCGAGCGACTTCTGTATATAATTAACGTCCGCGAGTTTCACAAGTTTCCTGCTAACGTCGCAGACAGCGTTTTGCTCATTGTGAACAGAATCTCCCCCGAGATGCATGTACAATCCCAATCGGATAATGATATTTTGCATTCCGTAAACGAAACGAGTCTGCTGCTAATCGTATTGATGTATAAGTACAAATTGCTACACCGGAAGTCAATAATGGATTTGCTATGTATGTGAGTATGAGGACCGTAGAGTAGTGTGCACGCTGAAGAGAATGTGGGAGGGTCATACAGCAGCGATCAGCGTCAAAAGCCGTCCATGATTTTCTACCACCACGCCCCAGACCCTCTCCGCCAACCCACCAGACGATCAATTGCACCCTTGGGCAACAAACACAACCAGATGAGACGACATGGGGTGGGTGGCGAGGGAGGGCGTATCGACAGCAACGCGGATGTCGCAGTCGGTGGGGACGATCACGGCTTGCGGAACTCGACAAGCACCGTGTAGATCGTGTTAAACGCGGTGTAGATCTCTTCGCGGACCTGAGCGGCCAGCGGCGAGACGAGGTCAGCATGCATGTATGTACGCGACAGTAACTCATGTACTTCTCCGGAGATAATATCCGAAGTAGATGTAGACGAAGGTGAACAGTGAACGGAGACTTTACCTTGGCACCCGTCAACACGATCTTGCCAGACACGAAGATCAGCAGTACGACCTTCGGCTTAATCATGCGGTAGATCAAGCCGGGGAAGAGCTGGAGTAGACGAATCAGCCACGGAAGCCGAACACGAGGATACAAAGTTGAACGTACCTCGGGCTCATACGAGCTGAACTGTCCGTGGCTGTACGCAAGACCTTCCAAACGGATAGGGAACTTGACGTCACACGAGCCGACGATATTCTGAATCTTGAACTCAGAGAACTTGGCGTCAAAGCCGAGCTTCTGGACGATACGCGCATACTTGCGCGACGCCAGACGCGAGTCGTCCTCGGACTTGGCGCCCGTGACGACCATCTTGCCCGAGGCGAAGATAAGTGCGGTCGTCTTGGGGTCGCGGATACGCATGATGACCGCGGCAAAACGCTGTAAAAATAAAGCACGACGGAGGGAAGTCCATCGGCTTCATATCAGAAAGCATGAGCTACGAACCTTCGGGTTGTACTCCGCATTCCTGGCGTGAAGCGCGATGGTCTTCAGATCCAGTCGGCAGTCTAAGTTGACCGTCGCGACAATGTTCTGAAGAGTCGGCACAATGCCGTCAACGGCAGTGATGTGTTGCTGCTCAAGCGTGAGTGGCGCGGGGGTAGCGGGGATGGTTGAAGGTGGCGACGAAGGACCAGCAGTGGCGTTCGTCTGCGTGGCAGTCGGGGAGTGCGACTGTTGCTGTTGGGCCTGCTGCTGAGATTGGGCAGGCTGAGCCTGCTGGGTGGGTTGAGGTTGAGAGGGATAGACCGGTGCGGGACCAGGGAGGGCAAGGCCCGACGGTCCGGGGAGGTAGGGGTTGGACGGGTACGGCAGCGCGAGGCCGGCATTGGCCTGCTGAGGCTGGGGCTGCGACTGCTGATAGGGCTGCGGTTGACTCTGCTGGTACTGGGTCTGCGCGGGATGGGCAGAGCGACCAAAGCCGACCTGGCGGGACTGAAGTGCGAAGGACATGATGATGCAGAAGAGACCAGCGAAAAATCAGACCGTGGGAATTTGTTGTGCGGAGGGAGAGGGCTGATCCCGGTTCTATCCCTGGTTGTTATATACCCTGCATTTTAGACTCCGCTCCAATTTCGTGATCGTTTATAATCAAATGGCGCTCCTCGATCACTTCTTATCATGACTCATTCCAGTGTTTTCTGACGGTCTCCGCGACAGTCGCCACGTCGTCCTCGCTCCTCTCTTCGCTGCCCGCCGCTTCTTCGACGCTGTTCAGCTTTCTGAATCCAACATCTATCGTCTGTCCTGGAGGTGCTCGCATGGTACGCTCTCTCGACGGTTGTGGGGGAAAGGCTCGTGGCTGGCGGGAGCAGTTGATTGTGCGAGGGTGGACGCTGGGTTGACAACAATGGCTTCTCGACGCCTTCACTATCAGCGCTACCTGTCTCCTTCCCTAATATCGCTCCCAAAGGGGTGCTGCGGTTCTCACCTCCCTTTGCTCGCGGTATGTCATCGTATGTGCACATCCCTTTGTCCTACCTTTTCAGCATATTCGGCGCCAATCCGCAACATTGTGGTCGGTGGCGTGTACGAATTGGACTCCGGGGAAGCATAGTCCGTGTAGCTATTAGTACGAAGTACAGCACATTACACCATTAGATAGAGCTATAAAGTTAATCGATGCGCAGCGCGCGCGCGTCCGAAGAGATGTGGTGAGAACGAACGAAGGATGGCAGTACGCGTCCGCGATATCAACCGCGATGGTGGCGAGTCCGCGAACGCAATCTCAATCAAACTCAAACGTGTCCCTAGGCTCCCCCGCGCCTGAGACATGTCGCAAAAGTGGATCCAGAGATGCCAACTCGTCCTTGATACCGGCGCGCGCGCAGTCGTCCAGCTCTTTCAGCAGTGTCGCGATCAGCTTCTGCAAGACGCGTTTCGGCAGATTGTACGGCGCAATGGAGATGGAAGATGCGGATGAGACAGATGCGGGGACGAATGCAGGAGCAGTGAAGGAATGATCCACGCACCTTCAGTTTGTTGTCGATTTGCCGTACAGTGTCTCCCAATGTGGACGTCCAGCTCGGTGGCGGGCTGCCCGGGCCCCCGCCGTATACTGCGTGTGGGCCAGTTGCCGAGCCCAACGTCGACGCGTGCGCAATTCCCCAGAGACTGCTGTCGCCATCGTTTACGGACGCAGCTTCCGCCCCAGAGAACAGATACGAAACGCCAGGATGGGGGGATAGAAGGCCCAACGGGCCCATCATGCTGTTCCCCGCATGTGAGAATGGGGAAGGCCCTAGGATTTTGGAGATCTTGTTGTACAGTTCGGAGAGGACGTCAAGCAAGGAGAGGAGGGTTTGGTGGTAATCGAGCGGGAACGGCTATTGTTCGCGCGCATTCAGTCGCGCTCTGAGTCCGAGATGGCACGGAAGGGACGTACGACGTGGGGAAGAGACATATATGCCTCGGATGGGTCTGTGTAGGTTAAGGCATAGTCTACGCCTGGTAGCCGCTTGGTGCCACCCTTCGGTCTGAATAGTCGCTGCTTGATACATGCCCGAGTTGTGGTGAGACAGAACGCGGAGCAGTGCGGGAAGTGAACGTACAATCCGGGGCTTATCGGTGTCCTCCTTCAACAGCTCGTACTCGGTGAGGACGTTTGAGAGTCCTCGCAGGAGATCTTGGGGCTCCTTGACATCGAATTGATTTGCTAATGCCATACCGAGGACCGCAAACCGATACGTCCTGAAGTAGAGTCGTCCGGCTCGCACATATCCCAGAGAAGGACTAGCACTCACCGTTGCTTCATCGCGGCATTGGTGAACGCTCTATCGAGCTCTGCACGCGTGATCATGATGGTGTGGAACCAGTGACTTCGTCTGGTGCATATACCGTCTCTGGTCGGCCGCATGACAGCGCAACATGAGATCTGACCACGCACCCTTCGTGGACATTCCGCAGATATGTCAACGTGATGATCCTCTTCTTCACCAGCTCCCTCAAGAACTCCACGGAGGTGCCCTGGGGGATGCTCCCGTTGGTCTGGATCGCTGAACCCGCGGCAGAGTTGACCCCATCGCTTTGCAGCGACTGGACATCCCACTCGCGCGTGCCCGGCATGGTCGCTGTCGTCGGGGTGGGCGCCGCGGACGGGTACGGCAGGCCAGGGATGGACACAGCAGAGCTGGCGGGGAAGGACGAAGGTGGTGCGCCGCCGGCCGCAGACGAAGACGGGTTGCTGCCGGCGACCTTGAAGCCACTGAGGAGGTTCTGGGCGGACGACTTGCGCCGCATGGCGGGTCGCTGGGCCTCCGTGGTGGGCGCCATGGACATGACGGGGTTGAATGCGGCCATGGCTGATGTGCCGTCCTGGGTGCGTGGAAACCTCGCTAAAGGGCGGAAGAACTGAGCACTGATGGGATGCGCACGGCGAGTGCCCCGGATGTTCACTTAGTTTACTCGATCTAATAGCGAGCTTACCGAGACGGTAAGATGCGTTTCTTACCCGCTTAAGTTAAAACGATATGATCTAACGGCTCCGTAATCTAATCAACGATCGCGCCTTTGCGGTCATTCTTTGCTCGGCCAGTGGGCAAGGGTTTCTCGCCCTTGCCTCCTCCCTGACCTCATCCTCATCCTTCTCTCTGTACGATAGACCGATCGCAACATGGCTGATATCACCGCCATTGCGAAGCAGTTCACCGACTTCTACTACTCCACCTTCGACACGAATCGCGCAGGCCTTCAAGGTCTCTACGTGCGTTCTTCCACCTTTTCTTCGCGGGTCCTAACCTCGAAACAAATTCTGACCGGTCTGCCGCTTTCCCGAAACAGCGCGACAACTCCATGTTAACCTGGGAGGGCCAACCACTCTTGGGTGCGGCGACCATCACGGAGAAGTTGACGGTGCGTCCTTCATCCTCATCCCCTCGTTTCCCCAACGCCTGACAGCACTGAACGCACCCAGTCCCTGCCGTTCGAGAAGGTGCAGCATAAGGTCACCACCCTCGACGCGCAGCCGTCGTCGGCCACCGTCGCGAGTCTCATTGTCAGCGTCACGGGCCTCCTCGTAGTACGTTAAGGCAACTGCACCATGGTGCCGCTCTGATTGTGCAGCGTTTTCATCGCGCAGGTCGACGACAGCCCCAATCCCCTGCAGTACAGCCAGGTCTTCCAGCTGATACCCGATGGCGGTAGCTACTACGTGTAAGTGCTCGCTACATCTGCCGACGCGTCTTCGACCGACCTGATGCGCGTGCTTCGGCTCTTCTCCAGGTTCAACGACATCTTCCGCCTCAACTACGCGTAATCCACCTGAGCCGGTGCCTGTGATCGGGCGTCCGGAAGCGGGCACGATGTTCGGCGTCTTGAAGAGAAGCAGAAATCATGATTGGTGTAGGACGATAGGTAGGATGCTCGGGGGAAAGTTGTACCTCATAGTTTGTCATCTATAATGCCATCCTCGGTCATCTCGTATGTTTTTCTCCTCCCTCGCCCCCTCCATGCCTGCCCGAATCAAGCACGCGCTGTCCGCGCCCCGCGATATCCCTCCGAGCTCAGAGTAGAAGCTAGCACCTCGCCTGGCGTCCTAGGAACCCAACTACTTCTCGCGCGGGCGCTCGGCGCCACAAAGCCTCTTCCAGTCGAAGCGTTCTGAGCGCGCAGCCCAGCATTGCTCTTGCCACCAGCCATGATAACATTCGCCACGGCAAGTCTAAATGGCAGTGAAGCGGGCATATCATACGCATTTGACCCACGCGCCCTCATACATCGGCTCCAAGCCTCGTTCGCGTTCAAATTTCGAGGCCGCGGCGTTCAGTAGATCCGAGGGCGGGCATGACTCACGCGTCTGGCTGCATGTGTGGGCTCAACTTCAGCGCGTGGTCGCAGCTTGGCCTTCGCGCCTTCACAGGTACAATAGGCCCTTCTTCTGCTTCGGCGGCACCCATCCAGAGCATCTCCGCGCCGTTCAACATCACCAGCATGTCCGACGAAAACGCCACGAAGACGGAGACGCGCGCCGTAACGGTGTTCTGCGGGTCGTCGAAGGGGAGGGACGTCGCGTTCACGAACGCAGCGAAGTGTACGTCCTCGCTCCTTTCCTTTGCGCTGCGCGTGCGGGGGAGTTTGGCAGCCTTGATGTTGTGCGTAACGCTAACGTGGGGATTCAGCGTTAGGAAAGGCGCTTGCCGAGGCGGGGAGGCCGCTTGTCTATGGAGGAGGATCGGCGGGGATCATGGGCGCCGTCTCCGGGGCGGTCCTGGACGCGGGCGGGCAGGTGACGGGGGTCGTGCCGTACGCGATGGTCGCTGCGGGCGGGGAGGTCGAGCAAACGAAGGGTACCCACACGCCGCATGTGCAGCTGAAGGAGAAGGGGAGAGAAAAGGTGCGTTCGAGACGCGTGTTCTTGGAGACGTGTCGCGCATTCCCTGACGCGATTGCTGCACGCGCGCTACAGGCGGAAGTGGTAAGTTCAGATCGTGTTCTGTTCGGGGTTGAAAATATGCTGAAGCTTGTAGCAGGTCGTCGTGAACTCCATGCACGAGCGGAAGGCGGAGATGGCCAAGCGCTCTTGCGCGTTCTTCGGCCTTCCTGGCGGGTTCGGCACGTTCGAAGAGGTACGCAACCCTTAAGCTGGGCGACCATTCGATTTGGGATGCTGAAAGCAATTCTGTATGCAGGTCCTCGAAGTCGTTTGTTGGTCACAGATCGGCATCCACAGCAAACGTACGTGCCTGTCCGTCCCCTCTATTGAGGGTCACAGTAATCGGTTCCAAACTTTGCAGCTGTCCTCGTCCTGAATGTTCTCGGCTTCTGGGACCCATTGCGCGACCTTGTTAAGAACGGCATTCGCAGCGGCTTTATCTTGGAGAAGAATGAGAAGCTCCTCCGTTTCGTGGAGGGTCCTGAAGACCACGCCGAGCACGAGAGCTTCGACTGGGGCAAGGCTGCCGTGGAGGCTCTCGAAACATGGGAAGGTGTCGCGGCGAGCCACTACTACAATTGGCACCTGCGCAAGGACGGCAAGACAGAGGAGGATGCGATGGGCGCGACGTAATCTACAGGTATTCCGGGGTATGTACATACATCAGTGTAGTATTGGAATGAGTGCACGAACAATATCCAGTGTACGGAACGACTGGCAACGGATCAACGGTCGTGTAGGCTCCGACCTCATTCCCACCCTTCCTCGCCCTTGTTCCTGCCCCTGAAATTGCACTCGACGAGCAGGGGCACGACGCCATCCTCAGGCTCCCTGTAGAAATCCATCAACGTCCAGCCGCGGATCCTGACATCCCCGCCACCCAGCCCCGCTAAGTTTAGCGGCTCTCCCTTCTCCGTGCGCCTGTTGTGCACCTGGTCGCCGCTCAGCTTGTCTAGAAGCCACCTCCCTACCCTGCCGTTGACGCCTTCGACGCCAAAGCCCCAATTTGGCCAACCGAAGCCCTTGGCAATTGTCGGCGGGAAGGCGAGCGGGACAGACGACGCGGAGAAGAAAGAGATGTTGAGGATCGGGAAGGGCTGCTCGCCGGGAGGGAGGACCAGGATCTCCGTTGAGAGCTGTGCCTTCTCGGGTATCGAAAGGAAGGATGGTATGCTGTACCTGTGGACGAACGCAGTGAGCAGCTGTCACGAAAGGTAAGGCAGAAATCTTCTCTCGCATACCAGTCGTGCGTCCGTACAAGCGTCCCCTTCAGCGTCCAGGTGAAGCCGTTCCTCTCGCTATCGGGCCACGCAGTGGGGTGGATGCCTAGCCCCTCCAACCCGTTCTCCCACCCCGTGCCGTCCCCCCCGAACCGGCTGAGCATGACAACCTTGCCCCGGACCTCTCCCAATCTGGGTATCCTGTTCTCGAGGAACCACATGTCCCGTCCGCCAGGCCCACCCATGACTTCGTCGTGTACGCACTGGGAGAAATACGGCAATGGGGTCCGCGTGAAGTCCTCTTGCTTGATGGACATGACGATCGTTTCGCGAGAGCTTAGCGGAGATGCAAGGAAGTCGTGGACGGCGCGTAGGATGTCCTGGAACGAGCTGCGTTGGGGGTAGATGCCGTGATATGCAAGGAGGCGGCCGTCGATGACGGACAGTCGGACGTCCAGCACGCGAATACCGGAGTGTAGCTGCACGTCCAAGGGTGTCGAGAGGGACTGGCATTGGGATATGGGCCAGCCGTAGAATGCCATTCTATCGACAAAAACATCAGTCGGCCTTGCTAATGGACTATTACTCCGTTACACACGTGTCATGAGTGCCTATGAACATGTAATCTTCAGTCTCTATCGTGCATTGAAGATGATGCGCTCTGCATACCGGGTAGAAGAAGGGAGGAAAGCGGGAGAGAGTCTGGCATCTCTGACAGGAAGCTCGCGAGATTGCGTCGAGGGAACACGCTTAACCTGTAGTGTCCCTTAGAGATCTACAGCGAACAAGTGCACTGTATCAGCTCCTTTCTCTGTTACAAGAGTCGATGGTGCCTACCTTGCTGCGGTACATGCGCCATGGGGAGTCCGCAGGGATGCGAACGGACTTCCATTTGGCACCAAGCTTCAGAGGGAACGTCGTAAAGGGCCCACTGGGAATGGACACAGATTCTGCATCTGACTTCTCTGATACCTGTGCGTTCACTCGGACCGTCGTCGATGTACTTCGGACAGCGGAGGTGGCTGACGTGTGCGGGGCGATCGACAGTGACGCTTCGTAGGTAGTTGAGCCAGGCTTGAGAAACGCAAGCGATAGATCCTCGTCGGTCTCGTTGTACACTGTAAGCTTCATCTCGATGGGCTTAAGCGGAGGCCCGTCTAGGCGTGGTCAACGGCTGAGAGAGCTTCGGAGGCCCGTGGCGCTTGCAGGTGCGGAACGGGTGTCGGGGCGGTGTCCGGATCAACTCCGACATCGGCAACCTTCGGAAAACTCGTGAACGGGAAACAGTGTATTCATTCCTCTGTATGCGCTGCTTCAAGTACAGCATAAGAGCCCAACAGACAGAACAAATGGATTCCTCTTCATGAATGGCTATAAGTGAGGACACTGTGCGAGCCGCTTGCACCATAACATATCAAACGGGGGTGCACAGCCGAGAGTGCCATGGCGGGCGGTGTTCGTCGAAGGATCTTTCTCAATGAACAAAGCTCACATCGGAAGGCCGTGAAAGATATGTTCGTTGGACTTAGTTATCAATGGAGTTGAGGTAAATATGGGTCTGTGCATATTCCACGGCCTGGAAAGCCCCACCGAGCTGAAGCGACACAAGACGGGATCACTGATGCCACGACCACGAACCACAACTTGAACGGCTGATGCCATGTACGGTCATATCATATGTTACTCGCTTGATGCTGTGCAAATAGAGACAAGCGCAACAGGAAGGGCTATTAGTCTTCAGACAGAAGACGCCGCCAGCCTATGCCGCTATCCTAGATCGCTAGATAGCTCTGATGCTACCGGCTTGGAGATGAATTGTAATACTCGTTAGTACTTGCTGGCTCAACGTGCAAATGGTTACGATGTTGCACCTGAAGGGTATATATCGTAACGGTAAGTGGGTGGCGTACTCTACAATAGGTATCGTCAGTTCGACAAAGTGTAGGGCAAAGTCATTCCATATTTTGCCGGGCTAGCAGTGCGCGAGACCACGCGAAAGGAGCGCATTCCCGGCTTTGATGAAGTAGTAATCGCCTGGGAACGGAAAACACCTTATCAGCATGTATCTATAGGTCACAGAGTTCAGAGTGACAGGTTCTCACCGTATACGATACCAGTCAAATTATTATGTTGCGGGTTGTTCACAGTGCCATTCGAGAGCAGGCTTTGCCACGAGGGCGCCCACGCCAGCTGGGTATTGTCACGAATGATTTTGATGGCAACGTTCGTGTAGTACGCGGCGCCAGTGACATTCAGGACGGAGAGTTCTTGGTCGGCGAGTAAGAAGAGACCGTTCGCTGCGATCATAGCAGCGGACGAGTCTGCCGGCCGAGGTGGGACGAGCGGCGCGTTGAAGTCCCTATAACAGGCGAGAGTGATGCTCAACCTCGGCTATGTTCAGCTAGTACGGAACCTCAAAGCATACCACGGGACGACACCATCGTCCGGGATATTCGTTATGAAGTACTTGGCTGTGCGACGGGCCGTCTCGAGGTAGTCGTATTTCTTAGTATGCTTGTACACTGGCGTCCGCAGGTCAGCTAATCCATGAATCCTCTCTATGGCAGTAGACGAACGTACTGTTCGTGAAGCCGTAGATGCCCCATGACTCTCCTCGACTCCATGTGCTGTGAGAGACAAATCATCAGCTCCTCAGAGCGACCTAGGACCAACCCGAATGGCAACGCGCCTATTATCAGCGTAGCCCTGAGACGTATGACGAGAAATGACAGCGCCAGTGGTAGAATTGTATTCCACGACGTGGAAAGAACCGCCTATATACGCCGTGAGAAGCACAATTGTGACCCAAGGGGGGCTGACCACCAACCATCTGGGCGAATGTGATTTACCATGGTCTTATCTGCATGCGAGATGGCGATGTCTCGCAGGGTGTGGTTGCCCGTTAGCTTCTCGGACGCAAATAGGACCTGGTATGTAAATAGACGCGTTAGACTACCAGAGGGTCCTCTTACAGGAGTCCTGCGTACCTCAAGATTCATCATGTTGTCAATGATCACCTATACATGGTACGGGCGGATAAGACCCTCAAGACCGTGTATATAGAGGCTCCTCTGGAGACCTACCTGGAAATCGGTGGGGTCTGCGGAGTCCCAGCTACGGGTACAACCCACGATAGGATTGAACCGCGCGGCAAGGTGATTCGCGAACGCATTCACCGCCTGGATAGCCGTCTCATTCTTTGGGTTCCTACAATAATCTCCGTCGACTATGGAATCTCCTGGAAGATTGATACCGGTACTCACACTGTCAGCTCGTCCAAGAAGGGAAAGCTAAGGAACCCGACATCATGTCCGACACTCGTGTTGACCTCAAGAGGAATTTCCGGAGTTGCCCACGTGCGTCCGAGGTTGAGCCATTGGGTGGCGTCACCGGCGTTGGCAAGGCAGAGATTGGCGCGCTCGTGCATCGCGTATAGAGTTGCAGGGAAGAAGCCCGTCGTCCACACATCAGGCGGGAACCATATCCAGTCCCCTGCGACTCGGTCGGTGTATTGCGGGTACTTAGCCGGGTTGGGGAAGGACTGTGCAGTCTTGAGCACCTTTTGAGCAATCAGAGGCGAGTATAGCTCCGCAGGGAGCTCCAAAACCCCCGTAGCAGTGGCGGAGACCAGGCCGAGATAGACGGCCAGTGAGAACAACCCGGATGGAAGCATGACAGGCAGCGAAGAGGGCAAAGCGCGTCGGTATCGAGCAAGAGGGTAGGGACACCATCTGTGCTTTTTATGCGCCTTCACGGCCTGCGTCAGCCGCCTTCAGGTACCCCAGATAGAAGCAGAATTGTCGCGGAGCATAGATCTCGACTTGCGAGAAGAACCAGCAGGTGTCCATTACGTTGAGCTCGCCGGCGCGAGGTTACCGTCAGAAAGGACGCTACTACGATTGTACTAGATAGGCGAAAGCGCTTGTAGTCAGACAATAAGGACAACAAGCGGGGTTACCGTCGACCAATGGCTCCGATTACATGACTGCACCATGAATCGTGTTGTAACTGGAAAGCGAGCGCGCTGTTGCGTGCGCGGCCGCGTAGCCTGCACGCCCAGTTGTAAACTCGGATTTCGTCAGGCTCGGGTGTCGACCGCAATGCTCATGGAGTATCAGCGCGGCCTTGCTCTCCCGCGTTCTGAAGGGTTTGACATGTCCAGAATGCAGCTGAGACGTTACGGGGGCAATTTTGAATTGACTGATCCATCATGCATCATGGGCTACCCGAGCGCCCGCGTTTGGCAAGACAGTACTTGACAGGCCTCGCGTTCCTCCCCATTCTATGGGTCTACCGCTCTCACCAAGAGTGCGAGAAACACGGTACTCGAGTAGGCAAAAGACGAGAGCCATCTATATCGATTGACATCGATATTCAGGATTTGTGCCGGGGAAGCAGTGTCAGCCTGAACACGAGTTCAGCGGCTGGTCTCGGCCCCATTGCGTCCACATGGGCGGCATATATACGCCGGCCTCGTGCAGGGATTGCAAAAGATTTCTGACCTTGTCTACGCTCGTAATGCAACCAAGGTATGCTAAAACAAGCCCACATAAGGGCGTGACGTGAGTCTATGTAACACGCATTTAATTGAAAGGATGGGGGTGCAAGCTACATACTCGGAAGAGTCGCTGCACTGGGTCGATGCGTGCGCGCCGACTGCGATGGACGTTTATAACTCAATCTTATCTAATCTCCCATTGCCCACAGCGGGCGGCAACTTGCAGCGCGACTTCAACAAGCTCACGTACACCGCAACCACTTACATTTAACGATATACATCTACGGTGAGAGAGAACAACGCCATGAACGTAGAGCTACGATTTCATGCTCAAAACATGCTCTGGCTATGTCCCGCTCCTAGGGTTGCGGTGGATTCCGACGGGTCAGTGCGGCAGCGCGACCTCCTTCCGAGTCGTACTTCCGATACTTGTATCTCACGGTGCACCGTACTCAATACTGATGGTGACTACACAGAATTCTCATTGACAATCAATGGAAAGTCTTATGGCAGCACCGCCGTCAGAGACGAAGAACATTCTCCCGCCCACAATCTTGTCAGCACTGCAGCAGTTCGCATCTCAGGATGCTCTCACATCAGGCGGTTTTCATCCTTTCGCTTCGAACCCGGAGGACACAATCTCGACCCTGAGACGCTTAGTGGAGGCGACTAACCAGGCAGCATTGTCTCTCAACGCACATTTGTCCTTGCCCCTCAATAATCCAAGACTACTATCACTATACAGGCAGCAGGCGTCTATAGCGTCCTCGGTCCAGCGGGTGAGCTCAGCAGTTCAGCGAGACATTTGGGGTGATCTACTGCTGCTGACGCGGTCATCACTCATGAGCTAGTCAGAACAGAGCGCCCGCCATCTGGTTAGCACTCTTCGAAAACGCGTCGGCATCATGTTCGGCGAAGACATACCGCTGGAAAGACCGCTCCTCGTTGAATGGTTTCTCAAACGTCTTCTAGAATGGGGAGCGTCAGCTGGAATGGAGGCGTTCAACGATCCAGAGCAGAATGGCCGGACAACTGTAGTGCTTGGTGGCAAGGTCCTTGTCGTTGACATCGACTTCGCCATTGACCGAACCAATCCTGCAAAACCCACTATCGATGTGGCCACTCTCAAGACAGCATACGCGATCCCTAACAGCACTGGGGAGTCTTCCTCCGGGAATTCAGTATCTCTCGATGGTTTCTTAGCGCACGCCATCCGGGCTTTCCTGAACGAGGTCCAGAAGGACGACGCGCAACGCGACAGCGTTGAAGCCGCACGAATAGGCAACCTCTTATCTGACCATCTCTCATACCTCATGAAGTTGGACCATTTAGCGCTTGCTGAAGGTGATGGTGGGCTACGGTGGTTCTCCTTCATTGACAAGATGTCACTTGAAGTCGAGAAACTCGCCAGCAGAGAGGCAGTAGTTGTTCAGAAGTACGCATTCATTCAGTCTGCGATATGGACACCCCGGCTCATTCACATACAACAGGTCAGAAAAGGGCGGGGCGAACACACCGCTCGACGTCTTCCTCCTACGGGCGCACGCACTCCCACTACCATACCTCACATCTCCATCAATATCCTTCCTCACATACCTCTCGCCCCTCGCATACCTCAAGCTCCTCCGCACATCCCAGCCTACCGGCCCACCAATCAACCACCTTCCCAACCTCGACGTTCCCTTCCATCATCTCCGCACCGCTCTCACTACACACCCACGTCAACCAGGCATGACAATCGCTACGCTCGTTCTCTCTCCGAACCCGCCCCCGGCCTACCACGCGGACTCGATGTCGATGTCCGGCCTCGACGCACGCACGTCCACGACGCTCGTCGAGGACGCGGACAAGCTCGAGTTCCTGTTCCCCGCGGCGCGCGAGGCGCAGGGTCAGCAGCCGTTCAGCTGGCTGCTCGACTTCACGGAAGGCGGGAAGTACCCCGGGGTGGTGATGAGCCAGTCGCGGATGCGGGACATTGAGATGGTCGTGAACCCGTTTGGGAGCATTGACCATATGAGTGACGTGCCGATGATGGCGTTCGGGACGGGGAGCTGGGTTGATCTTTTGGTGAGTGTTCGCCTTGGATCTAGCGTGACATATTGTTTGCGAGACTGAAAAGTGTCGGATAGTTCAACCCGCATACGCAGACTCCGATATCGCCTGAGCGTTACACGGCGCTCTATGTAAGTCTGCTTGTCATCCGGCCGCATTTCTGACTCATCATTGTTTCTACCAGACATCACCTACCTCTGTGCATCCACCGCTCCAACTTCGACTCAACACGCCAGACGAGCCCGGCTTCATCTTGGAAACTATCCCCGTCAGGACCCTGAAGGAGGTCTGGAGCATCTTGGAGGTACGAAGCGAGTATCAGCGCCATCGTCCTGATCATAGATGAGAAAATTTGCGACGCAGATTGTACGAGAACAATGTTGGCTCAATGAGATCCTGACGAGCTGTCAGTGGGTTCCGGAGGGCCTCAACCCCAACCAGACCGTAGAAGACGAAGCGGACGCGACAGTGACCGAGGACGACCTCCAAGCCGTACTGAAAGGTATGTCTTTCTTCGGACTCTCTATCTCATTCGCACAAATCGCTCACATGCGAGGATGACCTCCAGGACACATCGAACCCCGCAGCATTCCTGTCAACATCAGGATCCCACAACCCGTCCCGCCATTCTCGGACTCGGATATGGACGCGTTCTCGCTGGGGCGCGGGCACGCGCGCATCACGATGACCACTCCAGAGCGCCCGCCAATTTCGGGACTCGTCGAGATCACGGTAACGTTCGACCCCGGTCGGGCACGCGGGGTGGCAGTGGACATCACGGGTGCCGTGGGTGTGGACTTGAGCACGGAAGTACTAGAGGAAGTATGTCGGCGGGGAGGGCTGCTGGGTCTGCCCGGAAGGGTGTGGATGAAAGCGCATCAGATGCCTTGAGGTCTGTAATACATACATGTGCATAATCTACTGACGAGGGACGACGTCACTGGTCACTCGTCTGGCTGTCTGCCACTGACATTTTGGCTCGTTTCTGCATCTTCCTTTTACGCGACAAGCGCCGTTCATCGTCACTATGAAGGGGCCCGGGAGAGTGGAGTAATGAAGGACCGGAAGCTGAGTTGGGCATCGGTGAGGATATCGACCCGCCCGGAGCCGCATCTTCCAGCGTGTTGCCAACCACTTTTGAGGACGCAGTTGTATGAGCGCCCTCTCCTCCATGAATCAGCCGTGCACACCTTGTTCCGATTGGATGTTCCGGATGGGCTGAGTAGTTCTCGATGGAGGCGCCAGCGTGACGCGTAGGCCGAGAAGGGACCGGAGGACCCCACTGGCGTGCGGGAGACATCCCAGCGCGATTCTATCAACAAAATCTGGAAGAGCTTCTTGGACTGCGGGATCGGAGTAAACCTGAGATAGGTAGGAGACGGCGTGCTCCCGCAGGCGATCATATCTGGGAAAAGCCGATGAAAATGCATACAAAATTTCATGGAATGAGTGCGCGAAGTCTGCACACCTTGCAAAGAAGCTCGAGAAGGCCTCTGTCACGATGTTCTGCGGACCAAGCTGGGAGACTATTGCGTCGTACGCAAGGTCCTGCAGCTTCGATATGCCGTACTGACGTTGTCGCTTCAAGTCAGACGCGGTGTATGCAAGACATGTACGCATAGGGATCACTACGCACCGCTTCGGCTAGGCGATACATAGATTTCGGAGAGCATGGAGGAGCAAGAGTACCGGCTGTGGTCAAAAAAGCAAGGCGTCTCTGTGCCGATCCTTTCGAGCGGAGAGGAAGAAAGTTGATCTTGTCGGTGTACAAGTAGAAGATGCAAGCTTTCAGGCTGGCAGAGGAAACCGTAGCTCAGTGAGGGACACCTTCCGGCACATTTGGAGACATACGTGCGGTGGGCTATGTTGGGAATGAAAACCCGATGGGATTTCTCGTTTCTACCGCCCTCCATTCTCATGGGACTCTCCGGCTCGTTCACATTCTCTTCTTTGACCTTGCCCTTAGAAGACAGAGAGGCTACAGGGGTTCGCACATCTTCGACTTCCTCAAACTCGTCGAGATCGCTGTCGGAATCATAGTCATACTCCGATTCGTGAGCATACTGTCGAATTGGGTTCTGCCCATCAGTGCTAGCCTCGGCGAAACCAGAGGTTAGGACTGTGACGAGGTTATGTCAGGAGAGGGACGGCGGGCTCGTAGAGCAGAGTGATCTGCTCACGTTTCGAGAAATGGTCCGTATCCTTCAGGATGGACCCTACGGCAAAGATGGGTAACGGGTGATCGATCCGGCTGGAGCCGTCCGAGAAGATTGTCTTCCGAGTGAATGCGTACAAGTGAACATCTCGGAACTCCTGAGGCAATAGTGAGTCCCTCAGAGCTCTCTCCGCTGGAGTCAGAGGTACGGAGGGGGCAGCAGGGACGGAGGCCATGGATCAAAGCGGGATACCAGTGCCAGCTGCAAGCCTTTATCAATTTGACAGTGCGGTCCTCCGAGGAACCGGCCACGAGATTGAACCTCGAGGATGCCGCAATGCAGGATCCATCCTGAATTAGGTAAAATGGCACAGTAGAAGTCATCAGGGAACGCGACAAAGAACTTCTCTATCGCAGCGCTTGGCGCCGCGCCGGTGCTGCGGTAGCCTCGAAGCACCCCAAGAATCCACGGTGCCAAGAGATGAACACAGCTTGCTTTATACGAGACTCCGCGCTAGCACTTATGATTATGATCCATCGTGTATACAGTAGCCTACACGTAAGTCAGCATTCATCAATAGCAGATACGGATACGGTGCTTCTCACCTGGGCCAGCGCAATCACATTCCATCTCTCGCCTACCAGCCCGTTGAGGCTGTCCGATGTTCCGTCGTTCGCACCAGGACACGTTGTCCAGTCATCCCAGCTCGGATTGCGTCTGGGACCCAGAACTTCTCTGCACTGGGTGGGCGTGCATCTGCGCACCCCGGCCCGCGGTCCTCAACCATGTCGGCACGACAGCCGACCATATATTTAATGCCCTTGTATTCCCGTATGATCATCTACATAGTGTTGACAGCAAACCCGAGTGAGAGATTAAGATAGCCCATCCACCCACAGCTCACTGCGTGGGTTTAGGCGCGGAGCTGATCGCGCTCATGAACGCGGACCGCTGAGTGGGGATCGCAGCGTTGAACGACGTGCACGCGCCGTCATCGGTCCAGTCGCCCGCCGCGCCTCCAGGAACGTCGGCATAGCTCCACCACTTCGCCGTCCAGAGGTGGCCGTTGTACACGACCTGCTGCCCGCCGTTGTACTGTTGCGAACGGGCGATATGTCAGTGGAATCAACAGATCGGAAGACGAAGCCAGGGAGACTTACGGCAATGTTCGAGACCCACGCGGCGACGTTCGCGCAGGAGCCTGAGGACGCGGTCGTGGTCGAAACCGGAGTGGTAGAGGTGGTCTTGGGAGTGGAGACCGTGGTGGGGGTCGTCGTCGTCGCCGGAGTGCTAGTCGTGGATGGGACAGAGACCGTGACCGGAGTGGAGGTCGTGCCGCCGTTGCCGCCCTGTTTGATGGCGTTCTTGATAGCGAGGTCAAAGCGGCCGTTCGCTGAGGTAGACATTAGCTCAAGCAAACGACTGAAAGATATGATGCGTACCGTATGCTTGCGAGGCATCCCAGAGCATGACACCGCCGAAAGAGGAGTATTGGCTGCGCGTCGAGAGGGCGATGTTGGCGAGAGTAGTTGCGTCGACGTAGCCCGAGCCAGCAGCAGAGCTCGAGCCAGGAGCGCCGATGTAGATCTTGACGTTCGGGTTGGGCGAGACCGTCTTCGCCCAAGTGTCCCAGAGGCCGAAGTCCCAGTCATTGGCGTTGTTGAAGTTGGGCAAGCTGCAATAGTTGTTGTAGAACTGGACGTAGACGGCGTCGAAGCCGACAGCGTTCAAGACCCTATTGAAAGACTAAGACATGCCTTTGTATGATACGAGACGCAGACCACTCACGTGGACATGTAGGCATCGGGGTAGGGGCACTGGGGAGCGCCAGTAACATAGTACTTCTTGGGAGCGCCTGATGCCAGTGTCCGGATGCGGTTGACGAAAGAATCGAAGTACTGGGTGGAGCCACCCTCGATATCCAAGTCAATACTGGATGGACATGATCAATATGAGCACTCGATGCAGCGCGGCTTGGAAGCACGAACCCGTCGAGGACAGCACTACCGAAGGGACGAGTGCTGCTCGTTCCACCGAGGAACAAGTTCCAGATAGTGTCACCAAATGCGGACGCCTGGGAGGCGGAGGTGAAGCCGGCGCCACCGGTGGCACCACCGAGGGAGATCGTGACGATCTTGCCCTTAGACTGGCAGGTCTCGATGTCCGAGGCGATGAACGAGCAGTCAGGCAGGTTCGTGCCAGGGAAGAGCGGATTTGTTGCGGTGCTGCAGATCTATTCCAGGAAATGAGTGTACAGTATGCGCGGATCATTTTTCGATACCGGACGCCGGAGAGGCTTACGTTTGCAAGGTCGATAGATGGCAGGCCCCCGGTGCTAAAGAAGACATTCAAGAACGCGATCGGGAATGCGTCAATTGCATCGTCCTGGATCACATTCAATCAGTGTATGCTCTTGTATTTCCCCAGAGTTCTTATGTCGAACCTGGCAGTAGAAGGAAAGGTTCTTCTGGAAGTTCGCGGTGTCGGAGTGCGTAGCACCATATGAATTCTGTCCCCAATAGCTACAACGAACACGTCAAGGTCGTTCGCAAGGGAGACGCATATGTGTAGCTTACACAGCGACCTATGGGTCAAGACAATCAGTATCGATAGAAGATGCTGCCATGGAGTACAGAAGAACTTACGTTGTCAGTCCTCGAGGTATCGAAGGCGAGGACATTGAGCGCCCCGATGGACAGAGTGGAAAGAGCGGATGCGAGCCAGAATGAGATCATCTTCGACCTTGGACTGCCAGGGGTTCGCGAGCGAAGCTTAGTAGCGTAAACCGGAGGGGTGCCCGAGGACAGGACAAGGCAACAGAGGGCCTTTTTATCATCTCCGCGACGCTAGAACGCGAGTGTCTTCCGGTTCAATTTGATCTCGCACGGGTGCATAACGCACAATGCGGGGACGCACGCGCGTTGTTAGAAAAGCCGTTGCGGGCAGGGAGATCGAACAGAGGCACTGGTGACCGCGCGTACCCGCATGGGTGTCCTCTCGATGAGTGGCCAGGCCGAGACGCCATTGGGCTACATCGGCGGAAGCGTGATAAAAGAGGACTATTTTGGATGAACTCACGCGATACCAAATGGACCGGGCTTCAGAGAGGTCGTTAGGAAGAGATGCGCCATGCGGCGCTCCCGAGCGCTTGCACTATCGAGAACGCCGCACGACTTCGAGATACCGCACGACAACGGCGGTTTTGATGTAACATAGGCTCAATCCCAGCCAGGATCCCGGCGGGGTTCCGAAAACAGTTGCATTGTATCACGTACCTGACCCTAATCTTCCGAATATTGTGCCCCGGGTGAGATGCGCGAAGTTTGGAAGACTGCAGAAAAGGAGCACATGCTGCTTCGAGCTGACCGCGTGACATGTCAAGATACGTGTCGACAACAGTACTCTCGAAGCCAGCCGAATACAGTGGGCTGCGATCCTGCCCTCTGTCGGTGGCAGATGTTTGTTCACAACTCTTGATCCGGAAAGCTAGCAGTTGCAGAAGATCTAACTGACACGTCTGTCAGATATTGAGATGTAACCCTGTGAGAGCACCAGTATTGCCATGTAGGACTCCAAGCTCACCCGCGCCAGGCAGGTCAGCTGGACGTTGGTGAGTAAAACCGAGATATGTTAGGCGCTGCGCGACGAGCTGGAAGCATGCGACCGCCAACCGGTGATCCAGAACATTGTACAGATTTTTCGTCACGAGGAGGCGGGGACGATCATACAACCAGCATCGTTAGCTGTCTCCTGCACTGAAGGCCACACCGATGCCCGAAAGACGTGCATCGTGAACGGCGCTCCTCCCAGTCATCTTCCTGGCCCTTGAGTGCGCAAACAAATTGGACAGACACCGAAGACAGTACACAATGATCAGACAACGGTGTCAAAACAGGCTCCATGGCCGCACAAGCGCAGCAAGAAAGCACAAGGCGACGATGGCTAGGTCGGCCAGGGACATTTACATTAGGCAACGGTGTAGGCAATTCGACCTCGGCCTCTGCAACATCATCAACATGGATGCAGATGACATCACTCACCTATACACATGCTCGGCTCTCATACGAGCACCAAGTATCGAGCACATGGCACTAAGGCACAGCCTCCAAGGGTTCCGGGATAGTCGTTGTAAAGCTGAGCCTTTCGATTTGGCATGAGGGTCCGTCCTTGGCCACTGCGAAGGGACGCATGTTCTCTCTGAGCCTCGTCGACAGCGTACGGAGGACTAACAGACGGGCTGCATTGCATGTACAAGGTGAGCGTCGCTTTCAAGAAGCGTGTGAAGTCCGCTCGTGCGTCGGCGTCTGACACGTCCGACTGCCCCTGTGCCGCTGTAAGCTCCTTTTCAGCGACCACTACCTCCACAATCATATTGTCGCGCACAAAGCCGTACTTATGGATATAAAACCGGGATTTAATATTGACACGGCCTCCGACATCGGAGGGGTGTCTATCAAGAGACGAGAAGCGGTGCACAAAACATGCGAGCCTGCGGGTGCTGCAAGAAATCTCGGCAAGCCCTCGCTCCTCCTCGACGTACGAATGGACTTATCGTCCCAGGTCTCATGGCCGCGTGTGGCCAGCGAATACCCGCATGCTCCAGACCACTGAATCTATGGTGTTGCGCTGCTCACGTCGCAAGAGACTTCCATCGTGTCTGCGTCTGACAGAGCGGCGCCGCTGAAACTTGAAAGGCTACCGGAATGGTTTGATAATCACAGAGGGCCTGTATGCGCGGTGCTACTCTCTCCCAAGTGAGCAGCCTGATTTCTTTGTCCGCGTTGCGTTGTCTGCATCGGGGAACATGCGTGCAGCCGCTTCGGAATCTCTGGCATGAGCGGAGGCTGGGGTTGGCCCGATGCTAAGTGCCCCTTCCCCGGCTACCATTCAAGCCCCCGACGGTCTCGTGCACCCCAGCAATGGCATATCGCAGTCCTCGCTGAGCGGTCGTGGTACGAGCCCTCGCCAGCTTTGGTCGGAGCAGGGACATTTGACATTTGACAGATCGCGATTCCGATGTCTCTGGTGGGCGGCACGTCCGGTCTCGCCGGGTACAAATTCATTAAGAGCTGTCCGCCACCGGCACCGCCACTGCCCGTGCTAGCGACTGCTGTCAGGAGTGCAGGGGTCCGCCAGATTGCTGTGTATCAATCCATGTGTCCGACGTGGTTTGTTCTCGACTAGAGGCCGTGGTTGAGCACTGACTGCGGGGAAGAGGCTTCTCTCGATGGTATCGTGGACGAGGTCTATAGATGATGTCGAAGATGTTTCTTGTCTATGAATGAATTCTGCTGATGATCTCGAAGATGTCCGGGTCCGGGTCTTTGACCAGACGACCCGAGCCTGTGGAACGAACTCATCTTGGTGCAGATTATGTATCGGGGACTCGGAGGTCCGAAGGGATGATCATTGACAATTAACCCTACGCAGATTGGAACCGGAAATGGTTGGTCCTCACGGCTGCTACATACTACAACATCATCATGTACGTCTCCATTGCGGTCCGGGTATACACTACTCCGGTATATCACGCCGTCCCCAAACGTGAAACGTTCAGCAATGTAGGGGGGGGGGGGTTCCGCGTGCGTCGTATACCGAGCCCTGCCCGGCCCACGGGCCACGGTATGCAGCAATACGGTTCCGTGGGTAACGGCTGACGCCTCCCCAGAACCAGCCAGAGCGGGCTACCGCCAGGCGAGCGCAGAAGCCCGCAATTCGAGCCCGCCCTCGGGCTTGTCGTCGGAGATGTCGATGACGGAAATCTCGGGGTCGACGTCTGTCCCGGAGCGAGACGCGGAGGACGCGAAGCGGCGCGCAGCGCGGCCGGCGCCGCTGCTCGCCATGAACTGGATCGTGGACGCGCGCGTGGTGGACGCGGCGGAGTCCTCGGAGTAGGTGAGCCCGAGCGCGGCGACGATGATGATCGTCGTGGGGACCATGCCCTGTGTACGTTGGCCGGGCGGGCGGCATGTCAGCGTTGTCCGGAAAGGAGACTCATGAGACAGGGGGAGGCGACGCACGGTGAGCTGGGCGATGGGGTCGTAGACGATGTAGAACGCGTTGTTGCCGGAGAAGTAGAGCACGATCTCGATGAGCACCGCGGTAGAGTAGATCATCGCGGACTCGATGATGAGCAGGAACGCGCGTGCGAAGCGGTACCGGTACACGCCCGAGGCGCCCGAAGCGCGCGAGAGGTACCTGGGATGGTCATGAGTGCGGGGCCAGGACGCGTGTGTGATGCAGAGAGTTGTTGGGCGGCGGTCAATTGTGGAGCAGGGGGGGGAAGAAGGGGGTGGGGGAGGGGGGGGGAATGAGACGTACCAGAGTCGTGCTGCGATCAGGCCTGTGACGACTACGTTTGTCGCGAAGGATAGCGAGAAGAGGGAGCCGTTCCACCGCGCGAGGGTCTAGCGGACGCGTTGAGCGGTGCGCATTGCACGAGGACGGGTGGGACGTACCGCAGCAAAGGCGCTGTGTGTCGTCTTGGCGGTCGCGAAGATGTACGCTTGGCCAAAGCCACAGACTGTGCGTGCCCTCTTGTGAGCGGGGCGGTATACCGCGTATGCTATGAGGGGTCCACTCACTTGCAGAAGCGATGATCAGGAGCACAGGCAGCACGCACACCTTCCACTCCGCCGCCCAGACATGGTAGCACCTCCAGACCTGCCCATCAAGATGCCGTAACCCCACCCGTCGGTCAGTACCGAGCGCCGAGATCGCAGCAGGACGGAGAAGGTACGCACGACGATGCTGTCGCCAAGGATGGAGTTCACGGTGTGGATGATGACCTTGGCGACGTTTGGGGGCTGGGAGACGTCAGAGAAAAAGGCGGCGGGCCCGCCGGGGTCATCCCGGTAGTCGATGAAGCCCCAGACGAGGCGGGCGAAGCCGAGGGAGACGTGCACGGTGGAGAAGCAGAACATGAGGCAGCCGACCCAGAAGATGTAGGGGGAGATGTGGCGGGGTTGGCGGCTGAAGCGGGTGACGTAAAGGTAGGAGGCGAAGAGACAGACGTTGCATCCTGCCGAGGACGAAGAGCGATGGCGGTGAGCGGGAGAAGGCGGTAGGATGGTGAGTACGTACCGTAGAAAAGAGTCTCGAGCCAGATGGCTACGAGGTAGGCTCTGTCGAGGGGTATCGCGCCTTCTCCCATGGTGGGGTTGAGGTGGGTCCTACACGGAGGGATGGTTCAGGATGCGGCTCTATGTAGCCATGATGATAAGTCTGAATGCTATAGCTGGGCTGCAACATAGATCAGGGGCTGCAGGGAACAGCCGCATAACCTCATGTTGCGATCAGGAGCGCTCCATAGTTATGAACGACATGTGCTATGTAGGGAAAGGGCAGAATGGGGATCGTGGATGCATCGGAGCCCGATCTGGGATTTGCGTGCTTCCGTCAGAAGGGCAAGGGCTGGCGTAGTGGAGCAAGCGAAGTTTCCATCAATTGTGCTATCAACGGGCTCGGCAGGCACTCCCACTCGCTACGTACCGTCGGCAAGGCGCGTGCAGTCACGCGTCGAGCGTCGACGACGTCATGTACGGGAGGTACTGGACAGATATTCTGGGCTACCTGACAACCCTACTCAACAACTTCAACCAACCGAGCATAAGTGCGCTCAGCTATAGTACACGGAAGAGCGCGACCAAAACCGTCAACCCCACAATACCGCGAGTTGGTACGCAACGCAAGTGTCTGGCTACTGTCCGATGTGTACCTCAATGTTCAATGCCTCCACAAAGCTACCAGCCCCTTCGAAAGGGCATTCCACCAGGTGTATGTGCTTGAACGCCCTCCCTAGGCCTACTCCCGGACTGCGCACAGCAATAACCTCAATCAAGCCACATCGCGTTCGTTCTGTAATCCGCGTACTGGTGACTTCAAGCGTTGCTAGACCTCGGCAGACCAGCCCTGACCCGGACGCAGATCCCTTCAAGGCCTCGATGAGCGACTCCATCTCCGTGGGTAGGAGGTGCTTCACCGTGAGGGACGTGAGCGCTGGTAGCTGCCCGAATACGGGGTCCCAGTGCCCGAACACTAGTACTGGTCCCCCTTGGGTGGAGTTTATGCCGTCTGACTCCGACAGGTGAGACGGGTACGGGTCCGGGCGGTGGTCCAGAATGAGCGTTTCGATCCGGGAGGGATCGAATGGCCAGTCGTAGAGGAAGCCAGCCCAATGCTCTGGCACACCGGGCGCTGCCCACGTTGCGTCCCTCCCGTCGACTTCGAGTGCGGGTCGGCCCGACTGTGCGGTAGTCCGGCGGTAGGCTTGCATATGCCATTCGCCAACGCCATCCCATGAAGCACTGAGACAGCGGAAGCTTTGAAAGCACGGTGGAGCAGAAGATGGGGTAATGGCGCCTAGTAGTGTCGGGAAGAGTCCCTCTTCAAGCACAGCGGGGAGGACAGCTACGTCAGCGTTAGATGGGAGAGCTAGGGACGCGAGCAAGACTCCCGGAGCTAGCCTAAGCTCAAGCTCCATATACAGCTTTTCCAGCTTCGGGAGTGCGACAGGATCGGAAGCGACTTCGAACCAGCCGCGTATGTTCACGATTCCGAGTGATGGACAACTCCGAAGCATCGCGAGAAAAGATGAGAACGAGCGAAGTGGTGCTAAGTATAGTTCCCCAAGCTCAAGGTGGATCAGGGTGTCGGGGGGAAGTGAATGTCATAGGTACGCCTCTGAGGACGAGGGTGCGTAGACGTGGGATAACGCCGCTGAACATCACTGGCAGTGGAGATGTCGCATCCTCCGGGAGGGGAGGGCCGTCGAGCCGAAAGTGCCGTTCGCTATCCTCGACGAACAGCTCTTCTAGGCAGGGAGCCGGACGCGTGACAAGCTGCTGGCGCCATACCGACTCTATTATATTCGTCTTCTGGCGAACGTACACTGAACGAAGGCGATGGGCCGAGTCTCCAAGGATGGGAGTGACATGCGGCGAAACGGCGTACTCTATGGAAAGGGACAGGGGGACGGTCTTCGAGCGTACCAAACACTCCTGCGCGAGGTCCGGATGGAAGACGGCGAACGACGCCCATAGATCAGGAGTTCGGATGGCCACCGCACGCCAGTACTTGCAAACGTGCGTTACCCCAAGAATATCCGCATTCATTGATGGAACTTGAGCTGGGCGGTCGTATAGGGGGTCGGGTAGCATAGTCCCTCGTGCACCGCGTAGTTTGGGTTGCAGATTCATAGGCAGGACGAGGAATGTGAGGATAAGTCCAAGCAGCTCCGGCGGTAGAGTGTTCATCGGCGACGAGGAGTTGTACGTTTGCGACGGCCCATTGCCCATGGGCTCCTCGACGGCCGCCATATCCTGCGCTGGCAGCATACCGGCTCGGAGTTCGTCGCGAGAGTCTGCCGGCTGAGATGCATCAACAACGTTGCGGACCAAGGGGGAGGTGTATGCGCGAATGCTTGCAGCTGGTGGCACGCGCATGCAGTCACGTGACAGTGACGCGTCGATGCGAGTCACAGGGCGAGTTGGCTCGCGGGGTCGCGTCGCGTCGTTGGTCCGACTCCCGGGCCTCGCTCTGCAGCGCTGCAGCCACAGTCTCCGCCTCGCGCATTCACCGGCTGTCCCTCACTGCGTCGCCCATGCTAGGCAGCCGCAATGGCCTCAATGCTCGACAGGCTCCTCGCTCAGGACATCTCAGACTCCACCGACTTCCCCGACGACACCACCACCCCTGGTCTCCGAGCCTTCGACGACGCCCTCCGATGCAGTATATGCCGCGACTTCTACGACGCCCCTGTCTCCCTTAACTGTGGCCACACCTTCTGCTCCGCGGTGCGTGAGTGTCCGCCCGTTCATCGCCCCAGACGTCCCGAGACTCAAGTGCTCTGCAGTGCATACGCTCCGCACTGCCCGAGCAACCCCAGTGTCCGACTTGTCGCAAGCCAGCCACTGAGGTCCATCTGCGCAAGAACGTAGCTATGGAGACTGCGGTGCAAGCGTGGCAGGCAGCTAGGTGAGCTCCGCCCCGCTGTTACTTCATGACGCCCTACATGTGCTCCCTTCACCCAGGCCGCTAGTGCTCCGCTACGCCCAAGAGGAACAGAAACGGAAGGAGCAACCTGAAACGCTTCCACACAATCGCCCCGACCCCAACGCCTCCGGGCACGCGGGGCGCAAACGCAGGAGACTCGCCTCCCCCGGCCCCTCAGCGAGCTCCGACGACGAAGCGGTCGCCATGCCCTCCAGCCCCGTGCCCTCTGGTTCGTCTACCCCTGACATCACTCCCCTCCCAGGTACATGGCCTCCACGCCCACCCGCGAGCGCACGTTTACTGAACCACCGACGGCTGCGATAGACTTGGTGGCCTGCCCGATCTGTCAGAAGGACGTGCCGTCCAGCAGCATCAACATGCACATCGACAGCGGGTGCAAGCGCTACCTCTCCGAAGGCTCTGCGAGCGCCCCTCTGCCCGACGCCGCAAAAAGCAAGCAGAAGCAGCAGTGGTCGCGGCTCCTCGCGGGGGGCGGAGGCAGCGCCCCCTCGAAGGGCGGCAAGGGAAAGGGAAAGGGAAAGGGAAAGTCGCGGTGCGCCTCCCGTCCTCCATGCTCGCCCCCTCCGCCCCCCCCTCCCCATACTGACTACTGACTCCTCGCGCCCCGCCCGTACACAGCGCAACCCCCGACCCCCTCTCCGACACGGACGCGGAGCAGCACCTCCCCAAGGTCGCGTACGACATCCACCCGCAGAAGCGCATCGCGGAGATGCTCGCCGCGTGGGACCTCCCCGCGCATGGGGACAAGGCCGCGCTCGCGCGGCGGCACGCGCGCTGGGTCGTGCTCTACAACGCGAACGTCGACCGCGCGGCGCGCCAGCGGCGCACGCTCGAGCAGCTCCGCCAGGATTTGCGCCGCGCGGAGGACGCGGAGGGCAGGGGAAGGCGGGTGGTCGTCGAGGACGCGGTCGCATACCAGGTGCGCCTGTTTTTGCTGTTGCTGCTTTTCAGAGGGGGAGGGGGCGGAGAGCTGACGAGGGGACGTAGAGGGCGAACAAGGCGGCGTTTGCGAGGCTCACCGAGGCCGCGCGCCCGAAGAAGCCCGCGGCGGCGAAGGCGGGCTCTCCTGGTCCGGACGGGGCGGGCTCTGCGGGTGCTGAGGCTGATGGGCAGACGCGGGATGGGAGGTCGACGCCCGTGCGTGAGGTGATCGATGTCGACGAGGGCTAAGGGGATTTCGGTATGTACGACGTGCGTCACTTACTTTGGGCCAATGTCTTTTGCAGTTTGGATGTACCTGTATCGTACCCAGGGCCACTTTATCAGACCACTGTATGACACGAGGGCGCGGCTCAGCACTCGCTGGACGGAGATTCACACCAGCTCGCCCGTGATTGTGCATCCGCTTGTGAACAGACGCAAGGGACGTGTTGCTGCGCTGGCTCCGTAGTCTGGGCGCGGTCAACTTTGGCTTCGCTGAATCAAGCGGGGCCAAGTCGCCAGTATCTGGGTATGTATGCGCGGTCAGCCGCGGCAACACACCCTCCGGGTGCTCTTGACGGGCTGGACGCGCCTAGCTGCCGTCGCGTTCGGTCAGTTAGCCAAAACGTGAAGTTCCACATCAGCCAATGGAGAACATCGAGACCGTTGAGTCCAGCGAGTCTGGCGGACTCCGCCGGACTCCGGGGATCACATGATCTGGCCAAGCAAGGCACTGCTGATTGCCGCTAGATCCCCCTGGCGCCTTTTGCGAATTTCTTGTGCCAGCGCAAAGGGGTGCACGTACATACTAGTTCGTGGCAACACTAGATACAAGCCATTGACGCGTCCACGTATAGTATCGTGTTGTCTACGGAATATATGAGACTAATGGCACGAACCCTGCCACTGGCGAATGTAAACCAGCTCGAAGAAACGGCTTCCGCCGTCCTCAATCGGCGGTAGTAGGTAATTGCACACAACATCTGTCTAGTGCAATCGGCGAGCCCTCATCTAGTCTACATCACAAAATAACATACAAGCCCAATGCAGTTGTCACTTGAGATCGCTTTTCCGATACAATATGACGTACTCCTCCATGCCTCCCTCTAAGTACACTAATTGACCTTTCCCTACTGCATAAACCTGCTCAGCTGCCTTGGAGACAAAGGACTGGTCATGGGTTACGATGTGCACTGTGCCCAATTATCAATAACGCCTCCATCTCCAAAGTGCCTCTGTCATCAGGTAGTTGAGGTGGTCCGTCGGCTCGTCCAAGACAACTTGAAGAAACTGGGGAGACGACCTGAACGTCGCCAAAGCGAACACAATGGGAACCATCTAGCTCCCGCTTAGGGAGCGCCAGGCTGGAGAGCGTTGGCTCTGATCCTGTACTTGCCAGGTGCGCACGGAATCGCTTGCTCCGCGCACTCCGGATTCCTCTCCTCTATGAAGGAGAGAGCAGAGCAGGGTACTGGTGGAGCTCGTCGACATGATGTTGCGCGAAGTAGCCAATCTTTGCAGCAGGGTGTTGGGTATTCTTCCCTCTGACATCTGCTGATGCTGGCACCCCGATGATGGTCTTTACGGACGTTGTCTTCCTCCTGCTATTCGTCCCCATACAAGGTGGGATGAGCAGCAGCGCCGCGAAGACCTCAATACCCCAAACTTGCGGGAGCGACCTTAGGATAAGTATGCATGTAAATGAAAAATACCATTAAAATCGACTTCTACGCTATGCGATACAATATAATACGTATGGGCAGGCAGTAAGCAGGAGCCGAGACAATGAAGTGGTCGT